GTGAAGCTCAATATCGGGTTTGTGTCGAAGACGAATGGAGAGTCGAAGTCAGTGACGTCAAGGACGCAGTCGCCAGAGGAGAAGGATAAGGAACCGTCTTCAGCGACACCAGACACGAGTGCGGTTGAGTCTCCCGCGGCTCCAGTAGAGGCGGCTCCGGTAGAGGCTGCACCCCAACCGGTGGCGCCGAAGCTCTCCATGTCGTTTAACAATAATAAGCCGAAGAATGTTTTCGCAGCCATGGCAAAGAAGAACCCTCTGGCAGGAAAGAAAGGGCCGGTGCTGGAACAACCTAAGAAAATGACCGAGCAGGAGCGCATCATGAAGGAGGAGATGGAAGCGATGGAGCGCAAGCGTATGCGAGCAGGTTCGGGCTTTCCAAATGCCAAGCGTCCGAAGATCTCCTAAGAATGGCCTGCCGGTGGATATATCTGCATTCAATCTCTACAAGCAACAGGTATGCCGCGACTCGGTTTGCACGTGCCGTCTTGACTCTCGACCATATGTCGAGACCCCAGACCGGTTAGGTCTCCAAGGAAGTCAGTTTAGCCTCCCGCGACAGTTTCAGTCTGCGCCGGACGTTTGATCAACCATCTATCAAATCGTCCTTGGCGCGCGGGCCGCCAACTCGGCGCAATGTGTGTCTGTACACAATTCCCAGCTCAGGTTGTTGTGTTTCTTACAGTTCTGGAAAGCACAAGCTTCTGGTATAGGATAATGCGCCTTGATGACATGACGGTTCGTTCCGATCGGAGGGAGTAATGTCATTCTCCTTTCCGCACTTACTCTAGGGCTTTCAGCTTATGGTTCATAGCATAGCTAGCTTTAACACTTCTTCACAATTAGCGATAAATCAACCCGTTTTCAATATTGTTTCAACAATCAATACCTAGTTCATTTTATTTGCTCCTTAATAGTGGACTCTATACGCCCTGAGCATATACCCTGCATCGCTATAGCACCTTTCTTCCTGTCAGATAGCTTCGCGCATAGGTGTTTGTGCAGGGGATAGCTCTGAGTCCAGACCTGAGGATATATATTGCACATCACTCGGAGTACGTATAACACTGGTAACAAATACGCCCACCAATATCAAAAGCAGTCTGTGTGGTCATCAAGATAGCTACAAGAACCCTAGTGTAAGCAACATGCATCAAGTTGAAACTGCGTTAGAAGCCCTGGCTTTTTGTGTATATATCCATGAGAGAATCCACCATTTCCTCTGGCTAGGCTCCTATAACGTATTAAGCTGCCTTAATGACACAGTTGCCCGGGTGGTCTAGTGGTATGATTCTCGCTTAGGGAAAAACCCAAGCACATCTGCGAGAGGTCCCGCGTTCGATCCGCGGCTCGGGCCAGCCTTGACTTTTTGTTTTTCCATTTTGCATTTTGCATTTTGCATTTTGCATTTTGTTTACTTTAAATGGACAACACCAGGCCACCCAACGTCAACTATTCATTCCTGATTATGCATTGAGCACGCTATCCACAATCAGGGCGAAGCAGGATGTGTTGACTGTTGGCCGTTTGCCAGTGACTCAGTAGGTCACGTGCATACAGGGAACTGGCCTCTATGATGTGCAAGCCAATATGTACAGACAAGTCCTTAACTACCTTTTCAGGTTGCATATACAGGAACCAATTACTGGTGGAACGAATTAATCCTCAGCGAAGAGCAAGTGATAAGCAGGTACACTGCGTCTCCAACTTCTCGGGTTCTCTTCCCGAAGCTGAAACCGCAATCGTTTCCCGCAATATCTGCCTCTTGATCTTGTTGCTCATACATACTTCGTCTATTTCATCTAATTCTTCCTGGACATACGCTGGGCTCATCACTATTGAAAAATCCAACACAATGGCATCAGAACGTACACTTGCGTTCATTGGTTGCGGTACCTATAGGAGGGCCCCCTTGATTGAGCATCTGTGGAACTAACCATTTGAAAGGAAACATGGGTTCAGCTATTCTGAGCGGCCTCCTTGATGCGACACGTCGGACGACAGATTCCAATGGTAGTGCATCGGCAAAGATCTCACGTTTTATTGTGAGCACGAAGAGCGCTGTATCTGCCTACCGACTTGGCGAAGAATTCCAAGCGGATGAAGATCGTGTTGACATTAGACATTCGGATAATCTTCTCGCTATGCAAGAGGCGGACATTGTCCTGCTTGCCTGCAAACCTTATCTGGCCGAGGAGGTTTTGGGCGAGTCTGGTGTGCGGGAGGCCCTAGCAGGGAAATTGGTGATCAGCATCATGGCGGGAAAAACGCCTGAAGATATCGAGAAGTATATCTATCGCAATTCACCCGCAGACGATGCCGAATCAAAAGCAATTATCGTGAGAGCAATGCCCAATGTTGCAGCTCGTCTGCGTCAATCGATGACCATCATCCAGACCAACAACAATCTTTCGTATGACATGGCCGACACCTTGACCTGGATTTTCGAACAGATCGGAAAGGTGAAATTCCTGGCGGCAGATCTGTTTGATATCGGCACAATGCTTGTGGGTTCCTCTATTGCTGTTCTGACTGTTCCGTTAGATGGCATTCTGGATGGCTGCGTTGCGGAGGGACTCCGAAGAGCGGATGCGTTAGAAATGGCAGCGCAGAACTTGATCGGAATGGCAGGTTTGTTGCGAGAAGGTGTGCATCCAGCTATCCTAAGAGAGAGTATTTCGTCCCCACGCGGTTGTACAATCCAGGGTCTGTTGACGGTGGAGAAGGAGGGCGTGAGAGGAGCGTGCGCACAAGCAATGATCAACGGAGCTAGACATCTAAAGGAAATGCCTTGATAGTTCATGTGATATAGAAAGAACTGCCTAGAACATAGATGGAATCTGACCTGTAATAGCGATGGAACTTGTTAGTGGCTTTGACTGTGTCTGGAATGTAGTGCGGAATCTCAAACCGAGACTTTGTCGGAAGGGAGTCCGAGGTCGTCTGTACAAGACCACGAATCGAATCATTAAATGCGATCAGAGTGTTCTTGGGTGATTTTTATCTCAACACCAATCGGGGACCAGGCCGTCATGCATTGATCTACAGCATCTGAACTAGCTGGCCGACTTGACCCCTCACGTACGAAGTGAGAGAACAGGACAGAATGAAGGATAAATAGCGACATAGAGGCGATGTAGTAGTTGTGGTTTGAAGCGTCATTGTTGGAAAAACCTCAAAATGTCAGTGATGTCCTTAGTGCCAAAGCGACCCAGCATTGTGTCCTTGGTTGCAGGCAAACAATTACGGTGTCGTGTTTCAACATCGAATACAACACCTCCCACACACCGGCCTCGAGATGCCATCACTTCACAGCCATGTCCATCTCCAAAGAAGGCGCCTCTCTCAGTGCTACCAACAGGGACCCTTATTCGCTCGCTTTTGTTCACATCCATCATGTTCTCCCCCTTACTGAACCCTTGTTTATCAATAATGAAATACGTTGTGGATTCCAAGTCTCCCCTCATCAATCCATCAAAGAACCCACTGATAGATTACCTCCTTCGGAAAACAATCTACAATCACTTCTGCGCAGGTACCAACGAGGCTGAAGTGCGCAAGACAGTCCAGGACATGAAGAGCCTAGGATTCAAGGGTGTCATCCTTGGATACGCTAGAGAATCAATTGCAAAGGCGGACAAAAACGACAACAGTAGCTTTCACGTTGAGAAAAGTCAACTAGCAATTCAAGACAAAGCAGTGGAGGAATGGAGACAAGGAAACCTACAGACACTGAAGATGATTGGCGCAGGAGACTTCCTTGGAATCAAGTAATGATCTATCCACGATCGACACCTGCGCCGACTCAAACGGACAACCAGCTAACAGAATCAGATTCACCGGTGCAGGCCCCAAAGCCGTCGAAGCCCTTTCTCGGGGCGACCTCGTTCCGCCCCCCTCTATCGCGCAAGCCATTGAAGAGATCTGCGAGGCCACAGCATCCCAGAACTCCCGTCTTTGGATCGACGCAGAACAGCAAGTCTTCCAGCCGACGATCGACGCCTGGACGATTGACCTCATGCGAAGGTTCAACCGCAACGGGAGGATAGTCGTCTACAACACCATCCAGGCGTATTTGAAGTCCTCGACCGAGAACGTCTATCGGCACCTTTGCCTAGCTCAAAAGGAAGGATGGACATTGGGGATCAAGCTTGTCCGCGGGGCCTACATCGCGCATGATATCAGATCCCGGATACACGATACTAAGACAGATACGGATAACAGCTACGACTATATTGTTGAAAGCCTTTTATCACAGAAGTTCCCGCTGAAAGTAGCGGCTGATAATGCGGCAGCGTTTCCGGATGTACGGTTGTTCGTGGCCTCTCATAACGCGGAAAGCGTGCGCAAGGCGTCGACACTATATAGACAGAGGATTAATGACGGTCAACCCACGATTCCACTTGAGATTGGCCAGTTGCAAGGGATGGCAGACGAAGTGAGCTGTGAGTTATTGGCTGGGAACAACACTGGTCAGTCGGAGACACCGACGCCTGGAGTATTCAAGTGTCTGGCTTGGGGGACAACGGAAGAATGTCTCCATTTCCTGTTGCGAAGAGCGATCGAGAATAAATCGGCCATGGAGAGGACCAAAGACACAGCAGTAGCGATGCGACGGGAAGCCCGGAGGAGACTTCGGTGGTGAGACATCAGAATGCAACGAGCACTTCAGCCATTCTTTGTCGGAATTGATTCTCTGGATGAATGCACGGATATATTGCTTCTGCACGCCACATAGACATGGACTGAGCGTCCACTAATCATGCTGCGACAACACAGTCACCCTAACTGTCACGCGAGCTTCTCCCAGTAACACAGAATGCGGGGAAGTACTCATGCTTCCTTCTGTTGGCCATCGGCAGGTTTACCCGAAGTCTCGAAAGACTGAACTCGGGAGGGGATTCCGCTGCGGTCGAAACCACTACAGTCAGCGTTCACCCTTTATGCCTTCAGATAGACGGTTTAATAACTGTCATTCTTCCAATAACCATAACTCAAGATCATTTGGGAAGCCGAGCTTGTATCTCAGGTGGCACATTGTCCTTGCCAATAAAACGGATCCACCGTCCAGTATCCTCAAATTCATCCTTGACTCCTTCAACTACCTGGTTGTTCGCCGATATCTGGCCGGCCAGTCCGACAACACCAACCTCCTCAGCGTAGATAGCCCAGAGTCTCAACAACTCATTGAAGATTTCGGGTTTCTCCTTGCTCAAATCGCGCGTCTCTCCGGGATCCTCTACAATGTCAAAGAGCTCCCACCGTTGTGGGCCCCGAGGGAGAGGAACGTAAGTAATCTTGTACCGTCCCTTTCGCAGGGCACCACTTCCAGCAATTTCCCAGCCCGTGACATGCTCCTCGCCATGGATCGACGACGGGGCAGGAGAAGTATCCGTGCCAGCGACCGCTATGGCGTCCAGGAACGGCTTCCAACTGACACCGCGAACGCGCTCGACCTTTCGTCCTCGATATGTGGTTCCCGGATGTTGCAGCCCAGCGTATTCCAGAATAGTCGGGACAATGTCCATGACTGTACAAAAGGCGTCGATGACACGACCACCCTCATGCAGGGCTTCTGGATTGCCCGCCGGCTTCACAACCAAAGGCACACGGCAACCACCCTCCGTAGAGAACATCTTGTAGAGTCGCGATGGGGCCGTAGCTGCTTGGGCCCAGCGACTGCCGTACCACACGTAGGAGTTTGGCCGCCCGATATTCTCCAACGAATTATCATAGTACTTCTCCAGATGTGCTGTGATACCACTGCCGCCGAGAGGCGAAGCCTCGTAGCTGGCGCCCTCGGCACCATTATCCGACATGAAGCAGATGATGGTGTGGTCGTATTCACCCGACTGTCGTAAATAGTCCACGACTCGGCCGATGTTCTCATCCATCACTTCCACCATGGCGGCGTAGACTTCCATCGCGCGAGCGGATTTCGCCCGCTCTTTGTCGTCCATCGTCTCCCAATCAAGGTCCCCCGGTCCCGTTACGACTTCGTGTGGCACAATGTCTGGCGCAACCAAGCCCAGTTCCTTTAGTCTCTCGAGTCGCTTAAGTCTCAATGCAGCTGGACCATCATTGTACATCCCGCGGTACTTGTCCACGTAGGACTTGGGCGCTTGCAGAGGCCAGTGCGGAGCAGTGAAAGGGAGGTAAGCGAAGAACGGCCTCCCTTTCTCCGACTCCGGACGCTCGGAAAGAAACTCGATGACCTTCGAGGCGTACGTCTTGGAAGAATAAAAGTCCTCTGGCAGTTTTGTCGAATACTCAGCGTCTTCCATGTGGAGAGCCGTCACAGTTGTTTGGAAGAAAGGGTGGACGCCCGCAACAATGTCATCATACAGAGGCTCATACCCTTCGGTCTTGTTAGCAACCTTCAGATCCAGAAAGAAGATAAACACCTTGCACAAACTCACCATAATGATTCGCCGCACCAGAAAGCATAGCGTACGACTTCGCAAACCCCCGAGCATGCGGCGAGTACTCCCGCTTCAACCCCAGGTGCCATTTTCCCGACATCAAAGTATAATAGCCGCCGTCCCTGAGCAGCTCCGGCAATGCCACAACCCTCTCGTTCAAGTACCCTTCATGGCCTGGGGCGCCTTGGTGGGCGCGAGACAGGGCTATGTACTCCGGCATTTGGCCTAGACCGGTCAAATGGTGGTCCGTTCCAGTCATGAGCATGGACCGCGTGGGAGCGCAGGCCGCAGCAACATGGAAGGAAGTGAACCGTAGTCCACCCCGAGAATAGGCCAAGGCATCGATGTTGGGAGTACTAATCTCTGACCCAAAACAACCACAGTCGCTGAAACCGAGGTCATCGGCGACGATGACCAAGAAGTTAGGCCGGGAGGTCATCTTCAAGGACAATCAGACCGGGAAGCCGCGAGCTGTGAAGATAGACACAACTTCGACTTTCTCGAAAGGTAATTGTCGAACGACGAAAGAAACAGTTGATATACACCCTTATAGTCGCCAGATGATTGGGTCGCAAGGCCGTGGGGACCGCAAAGACTCCACGTCGACTAGGTACAGCCTCAACATGTCAATGCCCAATCACAAAAGTGACGAAACTCGGGTATTCCCATCCCACAATCAAGTCCAGCCATTGCACCATCGTAGAGTAAAATGGCCAATCGCATCAGAGTATGCTATACCTTGCTTCCATACTGCATCGGTTGTGTAATGGGGAAATCTGGAAGACTGCTAGAGGAGTCAGCAAGAGTCAGCAAATAGCCTATTTGAAAATCACCTATCCATGTCGTTCGGTGCGAGCGGTCTCGATTGCATGTTAGACACGGAAACGAGCAATCAGATGAACATGCCTGCTAGTGTTTCTGGGATTGTGCTGCCGTTAAGGTGAGACGCCATAAGTGTAGGCCACTCCTACCTCGCCGACTCGAAGGCGTCTGACGAGATTGACAGAGAATACAAGACCTCATTTGCTCTCCTGATTGCCTCGAGCAGTTGGAACATGTGAGGGTCTCGGTATGCATGGCCGGCAAGGAAGAGCAGACTGGGAGGATTGACGGATAAGCAATAATTGACAACCCTGACTGCATGTAATCAACCCATATGCTTTTTACTAGGAAGACCAAGGTCCAAGGTAGAAAGATTGATTGCTGACGGCCAATGTCCTGTCTAATCAGTGCAATGGATGAGAGATGATGGTGTTAGTACGCTGATCAAAGTAGGATACCAGCGCCTCTCCATAATTGATGCAGGTGCCCGGTCTTGGTCCTACACAGTTAGGAAGTAAAGATGCCTGAGGCAGGCTGCGCTCGCTTGAGCTTCGTTGCATTTTGTTTCCATCATTTGAAACGAGTTCTTCGGTGCTCCAACGAGATTCAACGAAATCCATTACATTATGAGACTAGAACTTGAATTTTATGCTAATTCGATTCTCGAATCAAGAAGTTGACCGGTTGAATAAGACCTAAGCAGTAAGGACAAGTTACTAGGTCTATTTGTTAGCTAGTTAGCGAGCATCGGATCATATTATTATGTACATCATAAAAGGAATGTATAATACATTTGCAAAAGCCCAAGGATCTTCAATGACTGCTGTCTGACGACTCATCCTCAAGCATTGAACTGCCGGTACCGACGGTCATTCAAACCACCAGACAGCGCAGCAGCAGCCCTGACGTCCAGCCTTCTCTTGTTGTTGCCGTGACCACCAGACGATCCCTTACTCTCACCCAGGATAGCCCACTCAGCAACAGTAGCACCTTCCTCGCCGCCTGCCTGATTACCCGAAATCAGCAGAGTGGCGTAGCGAGACGTGTGCACAGTCTGCGACAGATTCACATCGGTCGTATTACCGGTAGCCATGACAACTTCGTTGTAGTCAGGGCTCTGGGCGTTATAAGGCTGAGATTGCTCGATGTTCGTCAATGTGGTGACGACCTTGTATCGGGAGTTCCCGTGAGCAGAAGACATCGCGGCCACTGGGTCCTCAAGCATCTCGTCGTGGAAGATGACGGTGGCATTGACGGGAGGGGCTTGCCACCAGTTAAAGTGGAAGCCAGAGACCTTGGAGTTGATCTCAATGTCGGCCAGGGCCACGGTCAACGAGCTCATGTTGGCGGTGGAAGGCCGCCACTTGGTAGAAGTTGCACCGTCGACGGCTGCGATGGGAAACTGGCCGGGAGCATAGTCATTAGGCGAGTACACGGGGCGACATTGCACCATGTTTCCAGGAATGGTGTTGTTGAATCCGATCTGTCTGTTGGGAACGACCAGGGGGCCCGTGGCTGGAAGCCGGTAGGCAGTTGAGTTGCTGGGGTCGCCAACCAAGACAGGAATGGAGGCGTTGGCAAAGCGAGAGTCTGCCGTGTCAAGAGGCGCAACGTTTGCCGCTCGGCTGATAGTCGTATGGGTGCGGTTGGAGCTCGAGGAAATGGGCCATCCGCGCCAATAGAACGTGCGGTACTTCACGTTGGAAACCTGAGGGGGCAGGTTAGGGTCGATATGAATGGCATCATCGGGAAGCAGTCTCAGGCCCAGGTATCCCATGAGGACGACCTGGTTGGCACCACCGTGTCCTGTCAAGAAGGGATAAGCCGGGTGAGTGCCACCGTTGATACTGGTGTCATCGATCATTTGTTCGGACAGTTGGTAAAACGGAGCTCTCATGTACGGGTCGTAAGAGTTCTGGTGGTAGGTATAGGCAGAGCAGCCGGATGGTGAGACATCATTTGCAGTGATTGCAAAAATAGCCCACGTCATAGCGGGTCCGTCAGGAGACTGTTGGTTGGCGTACTGTAGGACATTAACTGTTAGTCTCATGCAGTGAAGGATAAGCAGGATAAACTCACATAATCGAGGTCATTCAACGCGTGCTGTGCTGTATAATTGTTGTCATAGACCAAAGGATAGGTGACAAGCACTACATCAGCCTGCTTCACCACAGCGGTACCGTTCATCGTGGTATATTCCAGCGTCACGCCGTTCTCCCTGATGACGAGGACATTTTCAGAGATTTCCGTCCAGGTCTCATTCTGTTCGAGACCAAACTGCTTCCGGAAGGAATTGGCGTAGCTCAGGGTCTCGGAGATAAGAGGCATCGTGAAGCCACCGGCATCAATGTGGTTGGCATATTCATCCTTAGAAAATTGATTAGTTTCGAGGTAGGCAATACCCAGGTAGTCAAACGTACCGGATCGGTCATATTGGTCAGCGTCCAGGACGAACCATTGCGCTGAACAATGTTCGAATACAGGGTGGCAACGGAGTCGTAAATGGGAAAATGCTGCTCTCGGAAAGTCTTTGTGTCGCCGCTCGCAATCCATTGATACATCAAGGAAAGCCCAATATCGCCGTTCAAGTGATACTGGTAGTCCCAGCAAGGACCAGTACCGGTGCAGTTACCGAAGCGACCACTTGTCCAAGGATAGATGGCTGCCGAAGGGGAGAAGGAGGTCTGGTTCTTGGAGCTTGCAAAAGCAGTGTTGATATTCTCAAGTGCCTGTGGGTACAGCTTTGTTCGGTAATTGGTCACTCCCTGCGCAGCCTCGGGGTGAGATGCCACCAGACCTGGCTGCATCCAGACGTCGGCATCCCAGAAAACCAGACCCGCATACGAATCAGAGGTCAAACCACCGACGGAGATGCTGTTGACATTAACTGGAGCTCCGGAAACAGCCTTGATGGCATTCTTGCCCACGGTGTTCTGCAAGAGGTAGTACGTGTTTGCGACCGCAATGATCTGGGAATTGAGGATGTGCTCATCATCCGGCAACTTTCCGGTGGCAGGGTCGACAAAGCTGTCTACCGACCCGTCCAGGAGAATGCTAGCCCACTCTGCCACGTGCGACTGCAGCGATCCCATATAGCCGGCTCCCATTGCTGCAGACACAGCTTGCTTAGCCGTCTGTTGCGGGTTAGGGAATGCGTCCGACGACGCAGCGCCAACGAACTTGGTGATCCGGACGGTCTCATTCGCACGGAATTTGACATTGACAGCCTGCGCAACGGATGATTCATTGCTGTGGACATAGGGCTTGTCGTTGACAAGAGCTCGAGAAGACAGATCCACGCCAGCGCAGGCAGTCAAATTTGTGTAGACATAGGCCGTGACATTTGAGATTCCCCAGGGCCGCACAGCCGAAAAGAGAGCTCCATTGTCTTGGCCGGATTCCACAAAATCGGTACGGACAGCCGAGTACCCATCAATGACGTTGACCACTGTCGCCTCAGACCCCTGGGAAGGGGTGATCTCCATATCCACCACGGCTTGGTTGACATGCAGCTTGTGAGCAAACAGCCGGTAGGTAATGTTGAAAGAGCCCTTGTTACATTTAGGAGTCCATGTGTACGACCAAGACAACACCCCGGACTTGAAATCGTACGTGGACCGGAAATCGGTGATGGTCTTGTTGTCCACGGTAGCATCGAGATAATTGCCATCGCCGAGGTCGAGAATCAGTCCACTCCAGTGTGGGATACCGCTGATCACGCTCTCACCTCCGTACTGATTGAGCCAAGGAAAGTTAGAGCCATTTGTGGTGGGCTGATAGTCAAAAAACCCAGCAATAGTCGCGAAGGTCTGTCTTCTGGAATACAGAGGCCAGCCGTTAATCACGTCGCCGCCAACTGGCACGTCCAATTCGAAGAATGGGCCGACGCTCGCGACGTTGATACCGAGGTAACCATTAGCAATGGAACCGCGAGATTGGTAGTGGCCCTGATCCAGGGTAGTAGTTGAGAGCAGCCAGTGATCATCATCCCAGGTCACACCAGGGAATCTAGTCTTGTAGACATGCGAGGAATTAGTGTCAACTTGTTTGTGCCCATGACCGCCGTGTCTCTTCAAGCTCCTCGCAATCCGGTCATTATTGTTCGGTAAGCCGATCGCTGCGGGGAGACACGCGAGTAGTGACACCCACGTCGCCAGGTTCTGTCAATCTGGTAAGCTAACATCGCTCGGCATTGATTGAAAGAGCAGACAGTGTGCTCACCTTGGAAAGCATTCTGGATAGCCTCTCAGGGCAGTGAAATCAGCCCGAAAAAGGATCCTGTTGAAAAGGATTTTGACAGTTAGCGTGCACTCTTCATAATCCAACATGAGCAGGTTCGATCATGCTTAAATAACAGGAGAAGCCGCCACCTCAGAAAGGAAGGTGACAAAAGAGCTGGTCGGTTTGCTTCTCTCTTCTCCACACTCGTATCCGATACCGGAAAGACCGAATGCCGATCCCCAGACTGAACTGACTGGGCGCCCCGGACGGGTTTCCATGTCCCCGAATCAGCGCGGGTTGGTCACGTCACAGCCCAGGAACACCCCGAGATTTTCAGGAATCAGAATGCGTGAATGACGCACAGACTTTCTGAACTAACCCAACGTAGTATCCAGCAAACTTTGTCCGCAACCCAATTTCCAAGACTTTTGTGGCTTACCGTGACTTGGGCTGTTGGTCGCAAATTGTAATAAGAATTGATCGCAGCCTAGCAAGCAGCAAAATTGTTTCTGCGGGGTAATCGCAAGCCACAGTCCTCCGGGACGGTTAAATGGTCCCGTTCTTTAGAGTTGAACGGCAGACACGGCAATCCGGTGAGCAGCGAGACCGGCACTTGAGAAAGTGGAGGACTTTGGAGTGGGAACGGGAAAAAAAGCCTCATTAACGTTCGAACTTTCTGGACGAAAAAAGCGATTTAGACGACGAAAACAGGGGTCAGCAGCCTCTTTCATCATCCGCTCTTGGGGTGCATGTGTATAGAGTACTCCGTAGTAACCAAAGAAACCAAGAGAGTTTCTGGAGAGTTCTGGCCACCCCGCACAAATATCCGGCTTTAGCCCGTCAGTCAGGTGCCAGTCATCTGGGCCTCAGGCATTAGCTCAGGTGAATGGTATTAGCTAATGAGGGAAGTGAGAGCTTTACAAGAAAACGGATTTAAATCGATGAATATTTGTACGAATAGTACTACAGTAGTACAGAGCACAATATAGACAGAGAAGCAGCAACTCTCGAGTCACCGAGTGAAAGTCATTAGAATGAGTCAGGCTTTAGTCTCATTTCCACCTTTCTCCTACCAGCCCCTAGTGATCCACGGGAAACCGGTCCAAAAACTTAAAAGTTCTAAGGCCCTCCTTAATACCATTGGCAAAGTCATCAGTGACCGACTGAGCCACATACACGCCGTCCCGAGACGTAGCAATCCCCGCGTTGCGGAGTGCAGCTGTGCCGCTTCCCAGCGCCCCAACTGTCTTGCCGAACCGGAATCCGTCAATAAGAATCTGCAGGGGCCGACCGGTGGGGTACAGAGAGCTTGCACCACTAGTTGAGTTGGCCGACCCGCCGGTAAACGAGGATGTCGCGAAGAGACTCTCTGCACCGGCGGCAACAACCACAGCGTCAAATTGGATTGCATCTGAAGCAGAGTAGGTCTGGTCAACACCGTCGGCCAGACGTTCTGCGACAACAACCACATCGACACCGTCGTCCTTCAGGCGGTCGCGGAGGGTGGAAGCTCCCTCAACCGAGCCTGGGTGCTGGACAGAACCCAGGACGCCGACCTTGAGGCCATCAAGCTTCTTCAGCTTGGTTCCAAACGTGCCGACATTGGCGGTCTTGTTGTTGTGATAGAAGGTCTGGTCGGGCTCAGGTTCGGCGACACCAATAGCGCGCGCAACGCGTCGTGCAAGGTCGTTATCGATGCGGTTCAATTGAATGATGACGTTGTTTTTCACGACGGGAGATTTAACGTTTGCGTTTTCGAAGCGGATGGCGTCAATGACGAACTGCTTCTCGGCAGGAACCAGAGAATTGTAGAAGAGCCGCGGCTGAGACCAGACATCCTCAAAGCTTGGGCTGACCGCACGGACAAGTTTGCCGCTGGTGGTACGGCCAGGAGCTGTGAAGAAGCCATCGCCGACGGTCTGGTTGGCTTGTTTGGGGGAACCATTGACGGGGGTCTTGGGCGAGTACGCGTGAGGGTTGAGGGGAATGAACATTTGGCCTGCAGAAAATGGAAAGATTAATGGAAGCACTGACATTAAAGTTATTAAAAGTCTCACCTGCTCCATCGCGGTTGTTGTTGTGGACGGGAACGCGAGGCTGGTTAATGGGGAGTTGTTCAAAGTTGGGGCCACCGTGACGGTTCAGCTGAGTGTCCAGGTACGAAAACAGACGGCCTTGCAGGAGAGGGTCTTCAGTGAAGTCAACACCGCGGACAATGTGACCAGGTTGGAACTATTTGCAATCAGGTTACAAATTCATTCTGTATCGGCTTCCTGATGGCACCATACCATAACTTGTTCGGTCTCAGCGAAATAGTTGCGAGGGTTGCGGTTCAGTTGCATCTTGCCCAACTTGGTGATGGGCACGAATTCCTCTGGCACGATTTTGGTGGGGTCCAAGAGGTCGAAACCAAACCGCAGTTGGTCCTCCTCATCCATGATTTGAACGCCGAACTGATTGAATTTGAAATTAGCTCCTTGTTGCTCTTTCTGATGTTTACCAGACCACTGGGAAAGGAGGAAGACGGAAGACGACTTACCTCCCACTCAGGATAGCGTCCAGCCTCAATTGCGTCGTGCAGATCCTGACGCATAAAGTCGGGATTCTTGCCAGAGGTCTGCTGGGCCTCTTCCCAGACCATGCTGGCCTTGCCCTGCAAAGACTTCCAGTGAAATTTGACGAGCTTGGATGCACCGTCATCTGTCACGAATCGGAAGGTATGTACACCGAATCCATCAACATGTCGGAAAGAACGAGGAATTCCATGCCCAGACATAGCCCAGAGCAGCGTGTGCATCGTGCTTGGCTGCTGGCTGAAGAAGTCCCAGGCCGAGTCATGAGCGGAGGCAGCCTGAGGGATCTCATTGTCACCTCTGGGCTTGACCGCGTGGATCAGATCGGGGAAGAGGATAGCATCCTGAATGAAGAATACAGGGATATTGTTTCCAACGATATCTATAACGGTTAGCAAGACGATGTCAATTGTGCGAATTGACTAACGTACCGAAATTGCCCTCGTCGGTATAGAAACGGGTGGCGAAACCGTGAACATCGCGGGCCAGATCCGAACTGCCCCTGCTTCCTGCGACCGTCGAGAAACGGACAAATACAGGAGTTTGCTTGCCTTCCTTGGCCAGGAAAGAAGCCGCAGTGATGTTCGAGAAGTCGCCATATGAAGTGAAGACTCCATGGGCGCCGGCACCACGGGCATGGACCGCACGCTCGGGGACCTACATACCCGGTCAGATAATCCTGTTCATATAGGAAAAGCGATAAGGATCTCGGTCTCATACACGTTCATGGTCGAAGCGCTGTATCTTTTGACGGAAAATGAAATCTTCGAGCAGGGTGGGACCACGCTCTCCGGCACTGAGACTATTCTGATCTTCGATAGGGCCGCCTACGTCGGACGTCATGAAGGTATCATTATCGCTGAGGTAATACTGGGACAAGAATTCCTCTGTGGCTGCGGCAGCGTCGCCATCGGATACCTCATCACGACGGTTGAGCTCGCCGGTCATATAGGGACATACCGCATTGGCGACGCCAATGAGGCCGGGGATAAACGTGAGACGCATTCTTGACGAGTCTCCGTTATGCGGTGACAGATTGGGAAGAAAGCGCGTCCAATTGGGCGTTGTGCTTGATCATCAGAGGGATCGGAAGGATGGGAGAGGGGCAAGAGTCCTGTTTATATATCCGTCGAACCCACTGCTTCTCAGTATCAGCAGGGGGGCGCCGATCACCACATGGGATGCAACAATACCAAGAACCACTAAGCAAGGAAGCAGACGAATCAATATTGCGGATATGATATTATGCAAGTCAAACGGTCTACTCCGTAGTAAGTGCAGCAAGGTACGTGATGCAGTGGAGACCCAACGGCCTGATGGAGATGTGATGCTCCTTCAACTATCCACTAGTTCCTGAGTCCTGACACTTGGTTTGTCACAAAGAAGAAGCAGTCGGCGAGAACGAGTCAGATTCCCCCATTTAGTCAGTCGCAAACAAACAGTGCATCCTCCAATGGAAGGTGCGGGCAGCAGCAGATCCATTCTTGGCGGGAATGGTCATTTCGCTTGTGAAGAAAATGATCACCAGCTCAATTGACAGGCCCAGAGTATGTGATGTGTATTCTGCTGACATTCATTTTCACTAAGGAAGTGGTCGAGGCCGCGATGCTTGGTAATATTTTGTAATAGCATCGGTCTGGACACTCCGGGGAGAAGCGACCAGCGTCAACATCCCCACTTCGACAATCACCTTTATTTGTTCGGATGTCGATGGCTTCACCTTGGCAGGTCTCACACCCGACAATCATTCCACTTTGCTCCGTATCCACTCACCGTCCAGTCGCCGGTTATGACGTTGCTGCGCCGGGCAATTTCATATCGCGATTTCCATCTCTCTCATTCCAACTTTATCGCAGCAAACTGCGGAGTATGCTTTGCTGTTGTACGATCCTTTCGGATATTCCTCGGCATAATCGGTTCCTGGATTTATGATTTCACCTCGGAATCAACGAGTGATAAAGCAGAGACGATCATTGGATGCACACTGCGGTCCTTGTTGGACTCCAAACAAACAGCACGCATATGCGATCAGTCCCGTGCTGAGGCAAAGCGATGCTTGTGCTCGTCTATTTTTAGAGATCCTGGTCAATCAAGGTCAAAGGTACTTGCATAAGGCACCTTCCACCGTAGTTTGGAGGCTGCGTTGACTTCGCAGATAGGTACTCTGTACTGCGACCGTATGATCGGTCAGGAATGTGCGCAGATGCAACTATCAGAGCCAAGAGTCACCCAATGCACTTGATGTGCATTCGTCACAATTGTATCCCAGCGGATTGGTGGGAAAAGACAAGGTCCCTTTCGCGTTAATCCTTAGCGTTATAGTCTAATGTCCTCTTCCAGCCACGATATTAATAATATGCAGCTCCTTGAGCTGATTTGCTAGTCAGAAGCGTGGCAATTGAACCTCTATCCAGTCCATCCTGAGCAGGTCTTGACAGCATTCCTGAATCCTGCCCCTTGCTTATTAGACGTTGTGCATGGAAGCCTATCGCTCCATGGACAATAGAACTGCTCTCACAAATCCATTGCCCATTCAAATGACCAACATTCAGTCACCGTGAAGTCCCAACAATAATAATTATCAATGAGCTTACCTTCTCCCCTCCTACTGCCAAGCATCCCCCGCGCCTTGGCTTATGCAATAGCTCAAGCTATCACCAAAGACCGATGAAGGACTCGATTAAAATAGCACTGGACGTAGCTAGCTTTCATCTCTGGCTTAGTGTAAGTATATATAGTTTAGGATCTCCTATTTCCATTGAAAAGTTTCGGCCGAGCCGTCGCCGTAGACCAAGTTCAGACAATAAGCCGGTAACTAGCACAGGCCAACATAGCACTTAGCAGGGATGATGCTAGGGCTAGGAGCGAATAGAATCGGCTGTACGACATACCTCCAAATCCATTAGCTATGGTCATGAGTGGCGATGGCCGAAAAAGCTGTGGTTGCTATGTGCTATGATATTATTACCCCTGGGATTGGCTTATGTACAAAGGGTACAGCTAGAAAAAAGGTCCCAAATATTTCATGTGAGCCCCATCGACTTGATCGGATTATGTCGCCGTTTCTAAGCAAAGATTGATCCATTCTGATCAAATGAAGTTCCCTTTAGTTACCCAGACCCTCTTTTCGGTTGCACGCCTGCTCCACCACGTCCGAGATTGGAGAATCTCTCTCCCGCAGCGAGATGTTCAAGGCATTGAGGAACGTGGCGCTGAGCATTAAAGACCTTGGAGTTGATGAATTTGACCTACAGCAGCTACAAATCCTGAATAGTTGCATTGATCCCATGACATTCAACGAAACATCGCCTCGGGAGACATCTTCCTTCGCTCCCTACCCAGGTCACTTAATTCCGGATCCCGAGGGGGATGCGCTAGGGGTGCTTCCAACAGCCTAGACGGCGAAACAGAAGATTCCTTCACTCGTCCCGTAAATCGCGCATATGTGATGATATATACCTTTTGAATTACATCTCTTACTGCAAGTAAACCGCCAAGGAGGGGAGGGTCCCTTGGACTCCGAAATGGTAAGCAACCCACCGCGTACTCTGAACCTGTTCTCCAGTTAACGTGCACTTAGTGTCGGAGACTACACTCAAAGGTTTATTTGGGATGATCATCCCGAGTCGGGTGCTATCATACCGCAGATAGAACGGCTCTACCTATCCACACGTCAAGGCCACCATGTAAAATAACCTGGGCGCGACGGATTCCGCAACTCTTAGACGAGTTGCTCCCGATGTTCCGAATTATGCTTACGCAGATTTGAAAGGAACGGTTCATTCATCAAATGGTCTCATCATTCTTGTTCATGGCCCAACGTTTCACTGTCCGATACCCGCACATGTTACAGATCTTAATTATCTCGCTCATGGGGATACAGGCGCGAGTGATTGAAGCCTATTTCGATGGTCATACTCTAGTCTTGCATCCAACCAAGATATATGATTTCACCCACGGGAACAACGGGGCTTTCAAAACATTTGCCCGGTAGTATATTGGCGGGCCGGTTGGGTATACCGCTCGGCTCCTGATTGTCGCTAATTTCCGGTTTCTTCTTTTCAATAGCGGCTGTCGCTGAATCTGGGTTTATTTAATGCGTTAGGAAACATGGATTCTGGCGCATATTTCCAGTCTGTGGTCAATCTGGGACTGGATACCCGTTTGGACATGTTGATAGCGTGTCGCTGGATAGACTTTAGGCGCGAATACGGCATGATTTGCTCTGTAGGAGTTAGATGTTTACGCTGGACAGCGATTAATGCATGATTACCATAGAATTCAGTATCGACTCTTTGCACTATGCTTTACCAGTCCTCCGTTTCTGTTGCAAGCCATGAGTTTGTTGCTATCTATGCAGTCGCTGTTATTACCACAAAGAGATATAGTGTAAGACTGGTTGCCATGGTGTTGCCACTTAGTCGGCGTGTTCGTTGCTGCTGTCTGTGGCAAGGTAAATAATGATTATGGGACAGCTACTACAAGGTGTGGCTGCTGTGGATTATAAGTCAGGAAAAGGGATATGGAGATGGTATGAATGGAAATAACCTGAATCAGTCTTGGAGGTAATTTTATGAGATCTCTCGATTTAGGTTTTGATTAAATAGTAGCTGGCAAGTTAGCAATAGGAGCAATATTCTCCGAGTCTGGTAAAAGTCGCAGATTAACACAGTCCGTGGACAGATATTAAGATGCCATAAGGGGTGTTTGGAGGTCATGGTGAACAAAGCACTGAATTTTTAGTTATATTTGCTTCTGTATCATTATCAAGTCTGGTTAACCCTCGAGCGGAATCGTACATAATCTATACTATCATAGCCCAAGCACTCTTTAATATCCGCAGTGAGTTACCTGCATGCAAACAAGTGCTGGGATATTCGGACGATCTTATCAAACTACGTGGAGATCGGACATTGATCGGCAGCAATAGCTACACAGCTCAGCTGGAATCTGAAGGGTCCAAGTCCAACCACAAACAACTACGTATTTTCAACTGCAATAATGCACAGTTGACAACGCATCCTCAGAAAGGGGCGTTTTTCAGAAAGGACTGATTGGCTAGAGCAAGGCTTTTGACAGGTCTTTTCCTTCTGTCGCCCATTTCGGCATAGCGACGGCATGGAAAAAGAAAATATCAGAGGTATCATGCATTACGTCTCCAGCTCTAGCCCCTCGAAGAGCCTGCTGGTAATGCAGTCTACTCGGTAACAAGATTGCACCCTATGAGCCATGGGCATCAGTGCTTGAGGATCGACAATGGCTTCCCCAAACTAGCAATGCTTGAGATCGGGAGTCCGTCCGGTAGCCTATAGTTCGCCCACACCCCGTGCTTTTGGGATAAGTGCAATGGAGACTTCACGGTCGTGCGTCTGTTCCATTCCCTTCAGGGGCATGTTGGCGCAGATGATGCTGTCCGATCCACAAGTTACACAATGCAGGGCTCGTGACATTGAATGCAGAGTATAAATGAGCCATGCGTCCCCTGTCCCGGTTCATTTCTGCGTCAGTCATTCATTCGACTTTCTGTTCATTTTGATCCGCATCCCCGTCATCCTTCGATGGATCATCATGCTCAAGTCAGCACTGTCTCTGGCCTTCCTGGCAGCTTCTTGTCTAGCTGTTAACCCTGCTGCGGTCTACACTGGCGGATACTCCGGGGGCAGCGTTCACCTCCGAATTGGCAATGGAGGAGCTGGCCAAAGTGGCTTGATCAAGGGTACATCTTCAATCGCCTCGTCTATCAACGACTAGCCCACTGACTTTGTCATACATAGCTCTCGCCGATGCCTTCATCCAGTCCAGCGTCAAGAACGGCTCCGCTCCATTTGAAGTCGCCTGGTACAAGAGTGACACCACCGAGTCCATCAACTATCTCAAGGACGACATTGTCGATGTTGGCATCACCTATACCCCCGCTGCTGAAGAGATCGCCATCAAGCAGGATGTCGCCAAAAGCCCCGCATGGTACGCCTGGCGCGACCACTTTTTGCTAGTTGGACCACCCTCCAACCCAGCCGGACTCAATAAGGCCGACGACATCAAAACCATGTTCTCCAACATCTACGCCGTTGCATCGGCAGGCGACGTCGCCAACGTCACCACTCCCGTTCGCTTCCTGACCCGCTATGACAAGTCAGCAACAAACATCAAGGACTCCCAGCTGTGGATCGAGATTGGACAAGTCAGTCCTCCATTTCACCTCAATCGAATGCCTTGACTGACAAAGACATAGGTCCCTTGGGCAACCAAGTACTCCACCTGGTATCATCAGTACATTGCGTATCCCATTCAAGCCCTGACTGCGGCTATCCTCCTTGAGGAATACACCATCACCGACCGCGGCACCTACCTCTCAATCGACCAGGCACTTGCCAACAAGACCACCATCTACAAGGCTGCCACTGACGACCCTGCCGATCCTCTCCTTAATCCCGCACACATGCTCGTCGGCAAGAAGGCGAGCAACATGAAGATGGCTGACAAATTCACTGAGTGGGTGATCAGTGCCGAAGGGCAGGCTGTCATTACTGGCTTCAAGAAGAACGGAAAGCAGTTGTATACTGCTGCACCTGCTAATAAAACTGCTCCTTTTTAGTTTGCTAATATCTATAGAATAATCGTTACCAGTTATATTTCTATGTTTAATATTATTAATAATGATTCTTCAGCAATTTTTCAACCTGTTCATATATTAAAATCTTTCTTTTGCGTTCTTTTTTGGCTTCGTGGTCTCAAGGATGCACATGTGAAATGGGCTCCAAATGTATATATTCATTGCATTACGGGCACCATTAAAATACTGCACAGAATGCTGTGCTGCGATAGGCAGTGGATATATCTTCCTTAATGGTAAATTCCAAAATCAAAAAGGAACAACGGCAATGAGATCAGGACTGTTTAAGCTTTCCAGTCTCCCCGATATGCTGGGTCTAAACGGTCGCTATCACTACTATTTTCATGCGATTAGTTGATCTGGGATACTACCCCAGCTAGTGGAAGCAGGCGCGGATCGTATAGTCAACACCATAGGAAAAATCCTCGAAGCGGTCATGACCCGAAGACTCTCCTACAGGGCGGAGAAACACAAAACTGCTCCCAGACACCTAGTCTGGAGGCAGACCGGGACGGAACAGGAACACTGAGCAAGCCGTCTAGTGCTCACTAAGGCGTCTTACTGCAGGTTGGCAATTTGGCAGATGAGTAGGTGTCTTGCCAGACGTTGACAGGTTGACAGAAGAGTAGGCATCCAGAGATATCTTGAAGCAAGCCCCTGGTGGAGATGTTACATGTTTATCTACTACGGCCTGACCTTTGTGTGCGTTGTTCTTTTAGAATTATGGATGATGCCGTGATGCTGGCTGGCTACAGAGGTAGTGACAGAAGTGTCACCGCAGGGACCAGACGGCTCATGTAGACAATTCATAGTACATCCGAGTTGCCCCAGTGGTGACTTAGGTCAATGTGCCTGGTGACAATCTGCTCGAGCTATATTGCATGGTCGTCGCCTCAGGCAGGACCAGGATACTTCTCAATCTGATTACAAAACGGTGTCTATGCCAAGATGATCGTGACAAACCACTCCGCTCTATATGGTCTTACGTTCAAAATGCTTCGAGCGAGTCACTTAGTCTTGTCATTCTCGTTGATCTAATGGACCTTGCCGAGGTCGTGTACCAATGGCACAGCATCAGTAGCCGATGTCAACTTACACCACCGGTCCCAGAGTCGTGCATGTGGGAGAAACCGGGGACATATTTTGTATCGTAGGCAAATCCGGCCTGTTTTTCTCTGAGGGTATCTGCTACTGCTTTGGCCATTCCTGTCAAAGCATCAGCTTGAACGAACTAGCCTAGCCTGAGTTGTTGGCCTACCAAAGGGCCAAGTCGCCCCGGCGAATGAATGACCCGAGAATGCATTAGTGATTTGGGAATTCGGTGAAGCGGCTTGCATGCTGTTCGATGGGAATGCAGATTTCTCCATGATGACGAACGATATTGCAAAGAGCCAGCAGCGGATATTGATAGAAAGAAGGGGCTTGGGATATAGTCGTGTCAATGGAAGAGTGACTTGAGCAAATGCAAATAGTCTAGAAAGTTGGTTATCGCAATTCGATTTGGGTACAATTCTTCCGAAAACTGTCACTTTGGTAAAAGGAATCGTTTCTGTACATCAAATCATGTACCCAAGCTTTGCCCATGATAGTATAATGCTGACCCTGGCGACGAGGGTACCAGGGGTGACTGCATGCAGCAAGAAGGGCCACGGTGTCTCCGATCTGGACGCTTGGAGGTGCTAATCCAAAGTAGCCTTGCTCTGTTTTTATGAGAATGTGCTGGCTCATTTCCATGCGCGCCTCCAGAGACCCCCAACGTGGCTTATCCAGTTCCAGGAGTTCCAACAATCGATTCTTGTCCAAGCGCCGCAGGAGTATCTGAAGCTCGCTTCGGATTGTGAGGCCATCATTGAAATAATAGACTCTAGCTCAGTCAACAATGCGGAACCCAGACGCGCCAACGCCCATCATCAGGGATACCTGCTGAGGCTGTTTAAGAGAAAATCACGTCAATCAGAACGTCTACATTATCAAGAATGCTGCACGCTAGGTCCAGAGGATAACAGCAAACTTGAGCAGGTCTGGCTACGTGGACTGTTTCTATACTTGTGTCCAATTTGCTAGGTCTTGCTTTTCAAGTGTCTTGGCTCGTGGTTAATTGCAGCCTCAGCGATCGCTACGTGGTCTGAAGTTAGGATAACCGTGTAAAAGCGAAAATAAGCAAAGACAGTAGATCGAAGTAAGATCACTGAAGATGCATGTGAAATGAGATGGGCGATTAACAATACCTAGGGCGAAGTAGCCTCTATTTATATTCTAAATGGATGTGACATACCTTTGGTTATTCATTATCAATGGCCCTTAAACACCTTGCTCCAAGTGCAGCCAGAGACACATTAGTGCTAAACATAGCATAGGGTAGTGACTAATCTTGCTGATGTCCTCATAAATTAATGGGTTGTATCATAGATCTGAAAGCAGTTATATACTGCTGCACCTGCTAACAAAACTACTTCTTTATAAGTTTGCGAGGGTCTATAATCATTCATAGTTTCATAACTGTTCTTAACAATTTTAATAATAAATCATCAGCAAGTTTTCCACCTATTTATAGATGAGAACTTTCTTTTATTCTTCTTTTTTGGCTTTACTAATCTGAAGGATGCACATGTGAAATGGACCCTAGAATTAGATTTATGTTAGTAGTTATGTATATATTCATTGCATTATGGGTGTATATATTCATTGCATTATGGGCAGTATTAAAATAATGTATAGGATGCTGTGCTGTGATAGGCAGTGGATAACTAGTTAGTTTGTTAGTTATATCTTGATGACAAATTCCAGAAATCAAAGAACAACGGTAATGACGTCAGCAGTTGTTACGATCTGCTTGCGGGTCTAGACCGTCGCTCTTACTACTCTGCAGACTCTTGTATAGCTACCTCGGCATCCCGATCTAGTATATAAGTATTAGGTTTCCTACAGAACTTTCAACAACTTTCAACAAAAGCAAAAACATCCTTCTTTATTCCAATCGGTCACGCACCGCAATTCAAAATGTCATCAAAGCTTTTCCCCGGAGACCCATCCAAGGTCATGGTGATCCGCAAAGTCACCCCAGAAATCACCACATTCAGCGTCCCCTTCTCCCGATATGGGCTCTTGAAATTTGGAGGCAGAGGCACACTAGGTAACATACCTATTTAACCCCTTACAAATCCCAACACTAACAAAACCCAGTAAAACTACGCACCGGCTCCCTCGCAATCATCTCCCCAGTAGCCTTAACCCCCGAAGTCCAGCAGATCATCGCCTCCGAAGGCGGCAAAGTCCAATACATCATCGCCCCGGACATCGAGCACCATCTACACATCACCACCTGGAAGCGCGCCTTTCCCGACGCCCAAATCCTCGCCCCAGAAGGCCTCTACGAGAAACGCCAAACCTCACAGTCCTACACCGACGACCCCGCTTTCGACCACATCTTCACCAAGGACGGCAAACACTCGCTGAGCATCTCGGACGAGTTCCACGCGGATTTTGAAGTCGAGTACATGGACGGCCACGGCAACCGCGAGATCATCCTCTGCCATAAACCGTCGCGGACGCTCATCGAGGCGGATCTGCTGTTCAATCTCCCCTGTGAGGAGCAGTATGCGCGCTCGGAGGAGTCGCCGACGGCTGGGCTGCTGAATCGAGCGTTTATGTCGTTGTTGCAGGCCACGGCGAGTCCGCCGACGGGGCATCGGCGGTTTGCGTGGTATGTTTTGTCGAAGCAGGATAGGGCGTCGTTTGCGGAGTCGGTGAGGAGGATATACAACTGGGATTTTGACCGTGTTATTCCGTGTCATGGGGATATTATTGAGGATGGGGGGAAGGAGGTGTTTCGGAGTGTTTTTGAGTGGTTTTTGGAGAGATGAATTGATGTTAGGGTTATTGGATTGATGTTGTTGGATACCCGGTGTACTATAGTCGTTCGTATAGCATGTTTATAATTTACTCATGTAATGATTTTTATGTCCCAAGCGACTAATGCTGAATGCGACCAATGTTCTGGCCTGTCTGAAGCCACAAAGCTAGTGAGAGGTGAAGACGGCTTCCTATGACTCATTCTTCAGCAACATGAACGCAACTCCCTACAACTTTTATAAAGACTAGGAAAAACCATATCACGTCGATAATCGACTTGATTTTGCTATTTAAATCAACCATACCACCATGTCCTCCACCGTGACCACCTCTCCCGACGGCAAGAAACAATTCTACGCAACATCCTCCCCCTACGAAGACATAATCGGCTACTACCGCGCCGTCCGCCACGGCAACCAGATTTTCGTCGCGGGAACCACAGCCGTAGACCCTCAATCCCCCGCCTCCGCTCCCCGGATCTTATTCCCCGGCGACGCAAAACAGCAGACCATCGTCGCTTTGACTGAAAGTGTCAAGGCGGTTAAAGAACTCGGGGGCGCGGGAGCGAGCAGTATTGTGCGTGTCAAGATGTTCGTTGCGCGCTCGGAGGATTGCATGGCTGTCGGTGAGGGGTTCCGGGAGGTGCTGGGGAAGCAGCAGGGTAATGGGGTTGGTGCTGTGGCGACGATGATTGTTGTGCAGAATGGGTTTGTGAATGGGGATATGATGGTCGAGGTGGAGGTTGATGCAATTGCAGATATCTGAGAACAGAATTGAAAAAACTCCTATTTGTGCGTGGAAGGGAATACTCCTATGCGATCGTCTCCTTCACCTGTCTAACCAGCTCTTCGACCGTCTGCTCAAAGCTGCGGTATTTCACTCCCAGCTCCCTAGTCACTGTTTCCCCGTCCAGCTTGTATGTCGGCCCGGGCCTCTTCCCAGCCTCATAATTCGTGGTCACTGTTTCCCGCGCCCACGGGAACTTCTCCTTGATGATATCGGCCGCATATTCGTAGCAAAACGGCTCCCCGGACGCAGGGATGTATCTCTTCCCACCGGCTTCCGGTGTCAATAATGCCTGAACGTGCGCTTCAGCGAGATCTCTCACGTCAATCCAGGCAGAAACTCTCGCGGCAGGTAGCGGATCAGCGCCGGCTGCAACGCTCCACAAAACAGCGTTGGACTCATTCAGCTGCGCAATGCTAGCCACGGGGTGTACAATCGGCCCGAACACCATTGGAGGACAGAGAGTGACGAGGTCGAAAAGAGGCCCCTCTCTTTCCATAAAGTTCCAGGCTTCGAGCTCGGCGAACTTCTTGGAGCCTCGGTATGCTATTACCGCGCTGGTGGCAGGGTCGACGCTTTCTTCGTAAGTGATTGGGTTCCAATGGGTGCCGGTGTAGGTGAAATCTGGGCCGGGATTCTTGGAAATGTCAATGACGGAGGCGAACGAGGATGTCAGTATCACCCGTTTGACAGTGCTTCCCGGTTTGGCGGAAGCGGCTAGGATTGATTTGACGCCATTGATGGCGGGGAGAATGAGCTCTTGCTCGTTGTTTGTGGTATTATAGGTAAATGGCTAGCGATTGGTTAATCGTCTTGTGTGGAATGGCATGGCGATAGACATACACTGGCAACGTGAATGACCGCGTCAACTCCTTCCATGACATTATCAAACACCCCCAGTTTCGAAAAATCCTCGATTTGAACAAACTCGAGCTTGGAGGCGTGTTCCGGCCGAGCAGCTATCATCTGCTCGCCCTTGGACAACGACCGTGTGGCCCCGCGCACGGCAATGCCTCGAGCCAACAGGCTGTCCACCACATGGGCCCCGATGAAGCCAGTGGCTCCTGTCACTAGTACTCGACTGGACTTATCAGCCACATTTCTCCGGTTAGGTTGAGCTTCGAAAAGTCGGGTATTCTTACGATGGCAGCTTCATAGACATGGTATTTGCGTCAACTGACTCGTACGTATTGTCGTTACCGTGAATCGTGATGAATCTATCGTATCGCGCCCTTTGAATGATCAATGCGGGGAACCGGATGTCGCTCGGTATTGCGCTCGGAGCTGTTCCGAGATTCCGACCAAAGCGGAAGACCAAGGACGCTAGTCCTTTGTAGGGAAGATTAATTGTGTAGGATTCATTCTAATGCAAGGTAACCAACATCATGAAAGGTCGGATATCCACTGTATATATGAAGATCTATATGTAGTACATTGCTGGTGGCGTTAGATCGTGATGCGACTACAGTCAGGCCATTACTGCTGCTTCTGGAGCACCTCTTCGGTTGTTTGAACTAGAATCTCAAACGCGCGTCGGAGGTACTTCTCCTCGGCTGCAGGGTTGGCGCTTACCACCCTGATGGCGTATACGCCTGCAATAACAGACGAGGTGATGAAGATCTCTCCCCGCGAATTGACGAGCTCGTAGACCTCCTTAGTTATGGCATTTGAAGCGTCGTCAATCTGAGGCACCGAGGACTCGGCATTTGATTGAAGGTTAGGGCTCTTGACTCGGAAGACAGTCAAGCAGAATGCAGGTTTGGTGATGATCTCGAATAGATCCGATCGGCTGCGCACCAGGTCGGCAAAGATATTGCCGAGTCCGATGGTCTTGCGAATGTAGGCTTTCATGCCGCTGAGGCCATAGCTGCGCATGACAAACCAAATCTTCAGCGCGCGGAATCGCCGACCCAGAGAAATGGACCAGTTACGGTAGTCGATGACCCGGCCAGTCTCGGAGTAGGGGTTGCGCAAGTAGGCGGGAGTAATATCGAGGGCGTCTGTGAGGTCAAAGCGGTTTCGTACATATAGGCAGCTATTCATGTTAGCAATCAATATTTGAACGAGCTACTTGGTAGTACCTTGCGTCAAAGTTGACAAGCAACCACTTGTGCATGTTCATGTTGAAACTGTCAACACCTTCCGCAAAGTCCTTGGCGATATACTGCCACTCGTCCGCAACAAGCGCAGCACCGGCATAGGCAGCGTCGATATGTACCCAGATTCTCTGCCAATGCGGCTTCTCCTTCAACACAGCCTTGATTTCCGCAAAGCGATCCAACGCGCAAGTGTTGGTCGTACCCATGCCAAGCGTGATGTAATAAGGGGTGAGCCCATCCTTATCGCACTGCTCAAGTACCTCTCGTAACCGTGGTCCAGTCATTTCCATATTGTCCTCTAGCCGCGCAGTGACGCTGCGATATCTCGTTCCAGCAAGCAGTGCGCCTTTCGCGGTGCTGCTATGTGCCTGATTACTACCCAGTGCCACCAGCCTCGGTCTCAGCTCCATCACACGGTCCTCGTACTCGACCGTTCCGTCCTTAAGACCCTCGGCCAATGCTTGTTCGCGCACCCTCCTTTCCCGAGCAGCGATCATCACCGTCGCGACTGCATCACTAGCAGTGACTTGAATGACACCACCTCCCTTGTTTTCCGAGCTGCTCAAGAAGCATTCCGGAAGACCCAATGCCTTGGCCATCCAATCCATTACGATCGTCTCCAACTCGGTACATGCAGGGGAACAGAGCCAGTTGAAAGCGGGGGCGGTGAAAGCGGCCGAATACATCTCACCTAAGATGCTGGGGTACGTCACACCGGCCGGAAAGAAAGCCATGAAATTCGGAGATTGCCAGTGAGTCAGGCCCGGCTTGATTTTTGTCTCAATATCTGCCTGGATCTGGGACCATTGCTCTGGTTCTTCCGGAGGGTTCTCGGGAATCAAGGGGCGAAGATAACCTGGTTCAATGGTCGGAACAACACGCTGGGAGGGGAGACCGTCGAAGTAGTCGATGACTATTAAACGCAATTTTTAGCACAGAATCGAACACCATAATGCAGGCCACACACTTTCATCGATCGCTGCATGCGCAGCGGCCCTGAATTGGTCGCGATCCATCTGCGCTGCTGCAAGAGAAGTTCCAGAAGGAAATTCCGAGTCTTCCGAGTAAAGTACCAAGTTGAGGGCAGGACGTGGGCAAATGAGCGGGGAGGCTGAGTATCTGACTGACAGGCACAAAGTCAGAATGTCTCTGATACACAGAGAGTCTATAGGCAGTTCTTTCTGAGAAATCGAGAAGTGCGACAGGAGAGAAGGTTTAAAAAGAAAATGGCAGAGGAGGCCTTCATGGCGGGGCCAAGACTGTCAGGCGGGATCATTTCCGCAGTGGAGATATGTAACGATACAGTATCACAGTCCTATAAATTACACCGAGGCTTCCCAAAGGGGAAGGACAGTCCTTAGCGCTCATTCAAAGAATAATGGCCGGGGATTAGCGACTGATCACTGAGAGCTCTTCGGTCAATCTGCTTTATCTTAATCCAGTTCTACAATGATGACTTTCTGCTTTTACTGGTCGAGTGAAGCGATGAAAATGTGGTGTCTCAGCAGATTCAAAACTGCCAAAACAACTAACAAAGAGCTCAAGGGACTTGGCTGAACTATGGGACTTCAGCATTCTTTGCATTTTGCCTGCATAAGACACTCTTAAGACATCACTTTGTATATATGTCCCTTATTCATTGCTGTCTCTGATCAATCCTTGTCATCTTCTGCTACGCAAGGACTGCCAGCAAGACATCTGATAATGTCCATTGAGATGTCTTAAACATAAGAAAAGCTCTTTATGTAGAAGGGTATATAAGGAGATGGGAGTCTGCGACGAGATGGATCTCATCGACCATTTCTCTTTCCCAATCTCATCTCTTCTATCATATCTTCTTATTCAACCATATTGCGCACTGAATAGAACTTCACAGCTAGCGACTTACTGAACCACCAGGAGCACCATGGAGATTGACCAGGTCAAACCAGAGCGCCATGACATCGCTCCCGATGGTGATCTCATTCTGCTTTACAAGAAGCATGCAAACCGGCCTGTCGAGTTGCGAGTCTCAACAACCATCTTGAAATCCCAATCGATCTACTTCAAAGGCTTGAGTGGGAGGTGGCTTGAGACCCTTCCTCTCCGGCCGGACGGATTGCGCGAAATGGTCTTCGAGAGATTCGATCCGGATGCCATGCTGATCATCATGAAGGCTGCGCATTTGAAGTTCCAAGGGATCCCGGATGAACTTAATGTGAAGCTGCTTCACAAGATTGCCAAGTATGTGCACATGTTCGACATGTTCCCTGCTGTTTGTACTCTGGCTCGCCCCTGGATCCAATACGTAAGGATGTTCGTTGACCAATGCAACAGTACAGAGCTTGCGGGTTACCTTCTGGGAATCATGTGGGTGTTCAACCTCAAAGAGCAATTCAAGAAGGCAACTCGGTCCATAATCGTCGACTGCAATGCGGTGGATATTGACTTGTCTAGAACACTCATTGACCAGAGCATGTTCGGTAGGTACCATTTCCATCATCTTTTGCTTTCCTCATCTTGGACATGTTAACTAACAAATTGAGTAGACGATCTCCTGGCAATACGCCACGAACTGATGCGCGATATGAGTTCTTTGGTACAGTCAAAGCTCATAACGCCGCTCAAACAGGCTGAGAAGAATGGTAAAGTCATCTGCCATAAGGAATGCGATCATCACATACGCATTCATATGCAAGTGTTGATGGAGGCCCCTCCAAATAAAGAGACTAAGCCGTCGAGGATTGTGGAAGGATTGCGGTTGCTGTCAGACGATCGCAAATTCTACCATAATTCGAGTCGTGACCCTCTTGAGGGATCAAGGAAGCCCCTCTGTATCGGCCGTTTGAACGAGGTCATCTCACAACTCGACAGGATGCTCGAGAAGGTGGGAGGCTTTGACCTGGCAGATTGGAGGCCAGAAGCCAGCCAGGACGTGGTTTGGGGTGATGATGTCGAGCCCGAATTGCGCTTGGACTGGCCCTACGACCAGAAATTCAACTTCGATTCGGACTATGAGCTTAGTCCCAGGTCGAGTGCGTCTCCTCCGCCCGGCAAGGGAAGGAATGAGTGATCATCCTATAAAGATAGGTTTGAAGATGGATAGTATAGATTATCTGAGAGACCGTGAGTGCTAAATTGTGTTTGATCTGTCTGTTTTGTGTCTTACTGGATTTTTGATCATTTGTCATCTTGCAGTTGTTTCCCCGCACTTGTTGCTTCCTTTTATTGCGATCATTTCCAGAGAATACACGTCAGATTATCGCTTTGTCAATCCATCATCTTCATATCTTCTACTCAAAGATTTTAAGCTTCCTCACTAATCATCTGAAACCATCTCAATATGCCTCGTGCCAGAGCAACTCTCGATGGAACCGTTCTCGCCGAGTCCGACAACTGGGAGACAGTCGAAGGCAATATCTATGTAGGTCCTTTCGCCAGTAATTTTGATTATCAATATGAAAGTCTGGAGGTAGTAAATCTTGTCTGACAATGTGTATTAACCTGTGATAACTGTAGTTCCCACCATCGGCTATAAACAAGTCGCTTTTCACTCCAACGGACTTGTCGACTCACTGCTCCTGGAAGGGAGACGCTTCATACTACACGGTAACCGTCGGAGGTATCACCATTTGCATCGTTATATCTCCTTGGGTACGTTAGAAAAATGACCGCTCCGTGCAATAGATAAAACATTTCCGAATGTGGCGTGGTACTACGCCCAGCCCTACGACAAGGCGAAGAATATCAAGGACCATGTTGCTTTCTGTCAGTTCACCATACCCCGTTATTTCTAACAAAAGGGATTAACTGACGATTTTCGCTGGCAGACAAGGACAAGGTGGATATCAGCGTCGAGTAGGATAGGATCTCCGCTACTTAATGTATGGTGCAGTCGACTTGAGTTTATGAACAGTACGGAGTAAACGAATCTGAAATATGACATACATCATCTCAAGATCTCTTTCCATTCCCATTTCCCCCTTGCGATTCATCCTCACTTCCACTCTCATGATCATAGTGCTCGTCATACACTTCCTGGTCCAAATCTCGACCCTTAATGGTCAACTTCTGCATCGGCAAGAAGACAAACAACATCCGACACCACTCCGTATCACTCCGATTCCTATACGAATGCGCCGTCCCTCGCTGGATACTCACATCCCCACGGCGCATTGTCCGACTCTGTCCAGAATCCAGGATCAAATCGACCTCGCCTTCCAGGACCACTCCGTAGTCAACGCTCACCGTTCGGTGCATGGGACTCGTCTTTCCCGGACGCAGATCGATCGTTCGTAGGACCGTGCCAAGCGAAGTCGTCAGCCCAGGCGAGGTATGAAGGTACTCATCGTAAGCCTGGACGTCAGTTTCGTCGTCCACAGAAACAGGATTGGATACTGTTGCGTAGAGAAGAGCAATATCCCCATCATCGCTGATCGGTTTCGAAGGGATGTATTCTGGGATTTGAGAGTGGGAGATGAACACCGACTCGCCCTCGGTGCTGTGGGTGGTGATGTAGCGTTTGGTGGTGGGGAGGTTGTTCGAATCTTGTGGCATTCTCAGATGCTCCTAACCGCGCTTGTTGTTTTCACGACTCTGGGCGGTTGAGTTGTCTTTCCTACGACTTTTTGCGTTGAACTGATGGCGGCGATTGGATCGTAATACATACATCATCGCCCAAAAGGGAATCAGGTACGATGTCCGATGGTCCGCGTGCATAGAACAACTGCATCCATGGTAGCAGTTAACTACACGGCAGCGTGGCATTTGTCAATTCGGTCAACAAGTCCGTCCAGTCTGGTGTTGCAAAATTCAGGTCGCCGCCACTGTCAAGCATCTCCGTCCATATATCTTCGAGTGGCCGCTCTTGACTCTCATGTTGATCAATGACAAGACAGGGGTCTGCGGACGGATCATCTTTTTTATCAATCGCATTTGCCGAGTCTTGATAAGAAACGATTTGCGCTGGCTCTGCAACAGCGGTAGCAGCCAAGGCAGGCGATGATGGTAAATTCGAAGGCTGTCCATCGGCAGAGGAGTGCTTGCCACTTTTCCAGTGCTTCTGCAGCACGTCCATCATGGCCTGGATACCCTGGCTAACCAAGGACGATGTTCGTTGAGCCTTGCTGAGCATACGACACGCATCAAGCACCTCTTGCTTCCTTTTATCAGCCAGAAGGTCATCCCAGTTGAAGCACACATCCATCAGAAGAATCACTGCAGCCATGAAAACGTGATGCATCACAGACCAGACTGCAGATGTTGGCGGCATGAACTTTGGTTCGTCTTCGTCCATGATTCTCTTGATTTCCAGCACTTTACGCGCAGACTGGAGGCAGATTACGTGCGAATACGAATACGCGGGTTCTCGCGCTCCCCGGACAAAGTACAGACGGTGCAGTCGGCAGAAACGCGAATGATAAGCTTGCTGCAAAAGACACCTCTGCCATGCGATCGTCGGCTGGCTACGATAGAGGGCTGCAAAACGACGCCTGGAAACAGTATCGAGCCGATAGAATTCCGGAAGACTGTTATATGCTTGATGTAGCTTGCGGTCCAATTCGAGAATTTTGTCGTAGCCAACGTCGATTCCATGCATGTGTTCGTAGGCCGTCATGTCCACTATTTCGCGACATACGACTGCCAGGTTGAGTCGCTGAAGAGTGTACGACATCTGGGTTGGCTCCGACATTGGTGATGGCGTGGCAACCGCTCTGCCCTGGATTCCTTCATGATCGATATTCAATGGTTCCCGGACATTCATGAGCTGGGGGTTAATCAAATATGTCCACTCCTGGGGACCACTCAAGAAACCTAACAGCCTGCAGAAAGAATTAGCCCGATTCTATCCCATCGTATGGCGAAAGCTTACCAATCAAAACTCGCTATATCCCACCAGAGTCGTCTCTTTAGTTCAAGCTCATGTGCGTCGAATCCATTCGCTTCCCTTTCTTCTCGGCAGCGGGACGAGTCAATGCAATGCAGCATGAGACTTTTTGCCTGACCAATGATCGTCCCGTGTAGAAACAGAGAGCAGACCGATGAGTGGAAACTTGGATTAGGCAGAAAGTGCATGACAATGAGCGACGCCTGGAGTCCCTCAAGTGTAGGACATGCAATGTAATTGCTCCTTATCAATGCGGCACCGGTTAAGAAAATGAATTCGCGGCTACATCTCTCTGCAAAGGTAGACAGACCGTTGGAATGCTGGAAATAAACAGAGCTGGCCAAGATGCTGAACAATAGCGCTAAGTGGGATAAATTGGCCGGTAAGCCTTTGTCGATGCAGTGGTAGATGCCATTGACTTGATCCTCGACACGCGACGGAATGATGACATGATACAGATAATCGATGTATTGACAATAGTATCTGAATAATGCCATTGTTTTCGACATCTCTGGGAGGTAAGACACAAGATCGACCGTCATCGGATTTTCACTCGATGCCAACCGATGCCGAAAGAAATCTGGGACCACTTCACCGAGGCGTGAATCTCCATTGTCCCTTGACTGGCCATGAGCGGCTTCAGACTGGCTCACTTCGTCCTGCAGATGCCTCGAAACTACAGTTGGAACTCGATCTGACATGACGATGTTTTCTAGCCAGTCCGCTGTTTTGACCGATTCATTAGTCGCTCGCGTTGGTCGAGGATCCGTGATAGAAGGAGCAGTGATGGCGCCAGCCTCCCTCGGCTGGCCTCTAATACCTTGACTTGATGGAGCAGTGTTAGTGTGGCTTGCATTTTCCACTTCAACTATCGCAGGTTCAATCCTCTCCAGCGATATACCATAGCTGCAGGACAGCCTTCGAGTAACGCAGCTGCTGCATGGTCGCTGACGATTGCATTTGAGCTTCTTCCGCCGGCAAGATTCGCAGGACACTGGATCTTGTCTGGGGGGCCTTTTTGCCCCTGTATCGGATAAGTTTGGAGCAGATTTGCGCTTCATATTCTTTTTGTGATTGTTGAAATGATTGAGGGGTCCGTTGAAGCAACAAGCTGTAGGACCTGAACCTTGTTTGGCTATTTCAGTGTCATGCTAGCTTATTAGTCTGATAATTGATGCGAAATAGACGCTGGATGGTTCCTAGGGAAAGGAAAGGGAAAGAAAAGAGAAAAAGAAATTGAAAAAAGATGTTGCACCGCTTCATTTTGATTACGTCATCTAAAACAAACATTTCCTGCTTTTGTATTATTTACCCTCGTTAACAATTGAACTTTGCAATCAAGAGAGATAACAATCTAAGCATTGAGTCTAGTCAAGTATCATTAAGCTGGAGGGGCGAGAAAAGACTACATCTATGGGTCTGGGTAGCTACCCATAGTTTGAAGGGACGGCAAAACATAGAATAGAAAGCCATACCCACGTATCAAAGCTATCAGTTGTGAATATTTCCCTTAAGTAATCGCTTCTCAGATTCTTCATTATTATATTTCTGGATTTCTTAGTTGTAGTCTTCATTTAGTATCAAGGTTGCGTAATATTCCACTACTTCATTAGTGAAGCTCTTCCAGGTAACTCTTTTAACCAGCATGTGGATGACTTAATAGTAGGGGTAGTGGTTAGCCAGACTCTAAGCAGATAGGGATACAGTTGTTTCATTTATCCAGTTGCATCCTAACAGATTAAGTCTTGAGTGGACACGCATAGATGGTCTTGGTATTGGAAACCAGTTAACTGGCGGGTTGACTAATTGCGCAGACCACCTGGATAACCGCACAATCCCCCGATCTGATTCTGAGATCGGCCTTACCTCATCCCGTCAAGACCCGCGTGAAACCAGCTACATCCGTAGCGATGATTCAGCAGTCAGCAGACGCCTCCCAACAACAGTTCATATTCGTCGGGGCCCCCGTCCTCAAGAAGGAAGCCAGCCGTCTGCGGTCAACTCTCGTGAGACGGGCGCTCGCCCAGAGACGATCGCAAAGATGGCAGGATGCGGCGAACAAGTTGGATTCAATGTTAGCTTCAAGACGGGAAGACAAGAGCATAGACCAATGCACATGCGGCTCCATAGCAGCCGGAGAGGGTTTGAAGAAACTATATCCTGATTTGCTGACGATTGACGGCTCTCGGCTCCCTGTATGGATCAATGATCCCAGGAACACCGACCAACGGCCTCGGCTCCCTCCTGTCCAATTGAATTGTTGCCTGACATGCGGACGGCTCCAGCAACCGTCTCCGGTTGGGTCCCACGCCCAGCTACGAATTACCCCAACCCTTCATTGCTCGGCGCATATCGCTCGAATCCTTTCTACCTATGGATGCTACCGCCGCTGAGCTAAAAGTGACCGAGCTGCTGGATTTTGCCGCGACTACAATCTGGCCGCATTTTCGGCCCGTGGACTACACTGGAAATGGGTACCGGTCATGGGCTTTTCCGATGGAGGACAAAATGCAATTATATGCTGTCTTATACGCAGCATCTTGCCACCGGGATGTGCTCCGCATCACGTATGGTGCGGAAGATCCCATCTTAGACTCCAAGGAACGGATGGAAATCAGAGGGCTGGCCCTTCGGACGTTGCGCATGGAGGTTGCTAAACTATCTGAACTCACCTCTCCAACAACCTGCCTTGACGGAGTCATAATGTGTATTCTGTACCTGGCAGTACATGAACTTCACAAGGGGACAATGGCTCGCGATCGTAGCTTGTTTACTCCTCCTTTCATCAGCCTGCAGGCTTTAGATGTTTATGGCGGCCGGATATATCATTCGTTACATTGGAACACAATGCAGGAGATAATCCAACGATGGGGTGGAATTGAAAAAATCGCGACTGCTCGGCTGGTTTGGCTGCTCAGTCTGTCTGACCTTTTCGGCGCTTTCCAGGTTATCCGCAAGCCAATCTATCCGATGATGACTGTAGCAGGGAGGCGGTTGGCTCTGCAGCGTCCCGGGCTGCTGTTCCAACCACACGGATACTATGATACTAGTTCAATCCTTCTCTCGCCAGGCTTGAGTACGCCGCCGGGCTTCGGATTTCAGGTACTCTCTTTCATCTGGCCGCCAGTGAAGCAGGATATAGCTGCGGTCTTCATCCATCTAGGCGAATACTCCGCCGTCGTCCAACACTACACAAACACTAAATGCGGCGACGTCGTTCTAGATCTACTAGGCGACAGCAGGAACCTCATCCACCATCGCCTATTCTCTCTACCAGACGAGAGCGGACTCTGCGAGCTCATCTTCGAACTGCCCCATTCTCAGTGCCCTTGTACCGCGAATTGAATGGTTTCGTGCGCGCAATGTCTCACGGCCCGTGCTTGTTTGGTGCATGGCTGTAATGCTTAGTGTGCTAGACGAGAACACCCCTGAATTCGAGGGTCTGGTCTCATATATGGTCTCAATATCTCGAGAGGAAGCGGCGGTCGATTCTGTGCCCACGCTTTCGGCATTCCTTCAATCCTTTGCCTGGGTGGATGCAGCCGTTGGAGATCACTGGACAAATCTGTGGGAGAGGATATTTTATCGAGGGAATACTAGATTTTCATCATAAATAGGCAGACAGAGATAGATCGAACACCCTTTCAATATGCACCTAGATTGAAATCGTTAAGACTGGAAATGCTACGCCTTTCAGATTGACACGCCCCACCTCAAAAGGTTTGGCTATCAAGCCTGCTAGCAAACGCTAGCATTAACCTAGCAGTGAGACATACCCCTATAGGATTAGAGGAATAAGGTGGATGCAAGGGAGCTAAAAATAGCTTCCTTAAAGGAAATAAGGTATAGTTAAGTAATTGGGATGATCGTCGTCGCAATGGGAGACTCAACCCTACAGGCAGATTGGCAGATATACGGGAATATACGATTCATGTCCATCAGACCGTTTGAAAACCCAGAAAAATCACATATCCGGTTCTGATTCATTCTAGTTCTTTAACCTGGATTCCTGCAACCGGGATATCTCATCCAAAGTCATAGAACCGCCCATTTTGCGTAGTGCTTTTCTGTCTGTCTTGCCTGCTGCTGTCAATGGAATTGTATCCACTGGTATATACACCTCAGGGATGAATGTACGCGGGACATATTGCGCGAGTTTCTCATTTATGCCGACAGTGAGAGCTTGAAGACTGGCGCCTAAGGGGAGGTTAACCTCGTCACCGATGGCAATAAAAGCCGCCAGTATTGGTTTCAGACTGGCAATTGGAGTGATCATCTCGGCCGCAACGCCAGCCCTGCCTTGCAGGAATTTGCGCACATGGTATTCGACCTCAGCCAATTCCACTCGTTCACCGCCGATCTGGACCTGCGTGTCCTTGCGGCCTAGGATGACCAGGCCGCCATCCGGCTTACACCGGACCAGGTCGCCTGTCTTGAATAATCGTCCCTGGCGTCCTGCAAAATCGCCACAGCCCTTGAGCAGCCACGTTGGAGTCACAAAAGTTGCTACATCGGGGCCGCCACCAATATAGCGATCCATGAGAATTGGGCCCTCCACGAGTAACTCCCCAATAGCCCCGTCGGGTAGAAGGCTGTTGTGATTGTGCGGATCCACTATCCACCGAAGGCAGACGGAAGTGGCCCCCGCAAACCCGGTTTCGAAGGTATCCGGGTCGATTGTGCATGCGGACACATGGGGGCATTCCGCCGGACCATAGAAGTTATACATGGTCAATCTCCCATCCCATTTAGACACAATATCCTTGGGCAAGACCTCTCCCTCAAGCGCCAGGTATTTCAGGCTGGGGACACTGTCGGGATCGAGTTTTCGAGCCAACGTAGGAGTGAGATAGACCGAGTTGGCCTGTAGTGCCTCAAGGGCCCGAGGGGAACAATGCACGCCGTCGTTCTCTTGCGGGATACAAAGACATCCGCCAGAAATTAAAATAGCAATAGATTCCATCATACTGACATCAAATTCGTACGATGCCGTCTGGAACTGCCGAGTACCGGGCCCAAATGACTGTTTCCTCATTATCTCCTCACAGTTCGTGGCCAGCGCAGTATGTGTCCAAACAATGCCTTTAGGTGTGCCAGTACTTCCGGATGTAAATAGTTGAACAGCGTCCTGGTTTCCTGAACACTCTGGTAAGGGCGAGTCAATGATCTCCGCCAATTCCATCACTTCCTCAACTGTGTGCATGGGCATAATGTCTCCCATCCAAGCCGGCGTATTTTTTCCAACCAACGCAAATGGTGAGTTCCCAGTATTCAATATAGCCTCAATTCTTCCCTTGGGTATCGAATTTGCCAGTTGAAGAAAGACTCCGCCAGCCTTGATGACCGCCAAAATTGCAACTGGCATCCATAACGACTTTTCGAAATACAAGGGCACAACCACGCCTCTACCCACCCCTTTTCGGGCTAGACCAAGCGCCAGGCGTGTTGACAGGTCATCCAGCTCTTTATATGTGAGGGATCCATCCCATGCGCATACCGCAGGGGAATCTGGTCGGTCCTGGGCGTTTTGGTGGACCATACTATGCACGAGATTCTCAGCTGCTGGGGGAACGGTCGAATTTCTCTCCCACAATTCTCTGAGATTTTGCTGACTTATTAGGTTCAGTTCCGTTAACAGTGTAGATTCGATAGAGATGTTGGTTAACTGTTGGAGGATAACCTGTAGGGTATGAGCCAAGTTCTCAGCCTCCTTTGGATGAAATCTCTTCTTTGAAAACTGGATCTGCATCTGCAAGAAGAAGTCTTGTACGTTGAACCGCACCACCATGGTTCCGTCGCCTTTAGGCTCGGTGGAGTCTGTGCGAGAGTCAGCTCCTCTTCCAACATATTAGGCCTACCGGAGGTATTCTATACCCATCTGATAAACAATCGAAAATCTGGAAAACTCCGGCTTTGAAAAAGCTCTCTGCTTATCGATATCTGTTTGTTTCCGGATTTGATCCAGCAGACTGCTCACGTCTAGATCTGGTGCGACGCACGTCCGTAACAGCAGTTCTGATTGCGTATTTTCCGAGACCAATTGGAACTCCAATTCTTCTTTGTAAAACCACTTACTCCCGGCGATTGACCATGCCGCGGCGGCCAACACTTCTGGGCGTTCGCGCAGTTTCTCCCCACCTATATTGCTGATGTACGTGTCGGTTTTCCATGGTAAGTCAACTTGCGACTCACTCCCGAGCAGACCATCGCAGTAATATCTGCCCTGCGCACATGTGCCAGCCTCGTAAAAGTGTTGTTGAGCCATGAGAGAACGTTAACTCAATGTGCAAACCAGATAATGAAGGTTTAAGCTTGACGAAAAGGTAAATTTACCTAAAACTCGGTTCATCCTGGTCGTATCTGCGCCCTTATGTACGTCTTTTCCAATATTCGCCGCAATCGCACCGCTCTCTAGAACACTATAGGGGACCTCCCAACCAAGACATGCGGCCGACGCTTCCGGTGTGTTGTCTGCTGCATGCTGAACATCCCTTTCTGATTTGGCATCTTTGGTATGTCGATCCCTCCCCGGAAATACCGGAAAATGTCGACCAGCCATAAGTTAACTAACGGTTGCGGCACTGATTATTCAGCCGTCGCCTCGACGATCCCACATGACACATTGCGTGTTCAGAAAGCAGAATGAAGGACTTAGGCAGCGACAATTCTAGACTTTCATAGATCCGTTAATTAAGGCTGCTTTTCTGTGGCATAATTCAGTTCTTTGGGCATGTGGGCCTTGGATCCTTTTGTATGTCAGAGGAAGATTGGTTGTCATCTGAAAACATGAGGGTTTGCATACAAGTTGAATATCAGGTGATTTTCAATCAATCTGATTCAGTACGGAATAGAATCAGTACACGGCAGTCTATTGTCTACTTGATCGAGCCTCAATTCACAACAGATCCTTCAGATGTCAAGAAAGGCATTCAAGTTACTGAAAGATATAGCACAGATTGAAGATAACTTTGTTATCTAGTGACTACACAAAACAACGAGCCAGAAGACTTCTCACAGGGATAGGGTAGTCCCTCTGTTTATCCTCGGCCAGCGGCTCAAAGCGTACATCTACTCCTCCCCTGAACACCAGGCAATGTGTGGACCCTCCGTAGTGGAAACATCCAATCTCGTCCCCGGCCTTGACATGGTCCCCTTCGTTGACCGACGCCTCACAGGATGACACTTCCCCCATGCCAACTGCCACAAAGGCTAAGAGTCCAACACGAGGATCGACAGCTTCAATAAAAACTACCATGCGCGTGGCAACGGTAGCTAGGTAACTCTGCGACTTTTCCATGGCCAGGATATCCGACATGGGAAGCTGGGAGAAGTAGCTCCCGTTGAGAGAGAGGATTCTGCGGATTGTTCCTGTTACAGGGGAATGCCAGCGGTGATAGCTCAAGGCCGACAGATAGGCTTGATAGACGGTGCCGCCGGCAAAATGTTGTGTAAGTGTGCTGTTCCCTAACATCGAGGACACGGAATGCGACTTTCCTTTGAGGATGATGTTGCTTTCCAGCGAGCACTGGTAAGTGGTGTGCCAGGGAGTCGACTCGCAAGCGTTCAAAATTGGAGCCCCAGCCGCCTTTCCGCTAGGATAGAGTATATGTCGAGAAGGTGTCGGGCGGATCCCCGGTTTGAACCGACGTGTGAAGAACGCATCCCAAGACGAAAATCCAAGGGTGTCTGGGTTTGACGGATCGGGACAGTCGAAAATGTCGATAAAGGTTTTGTTGTCTCCCGTGGGACGATTGGCTATCTCTTCTAATCTTGCAATTGCAACTGCGGACAGCCATCCATCTCGCGAGTTGAGTACGTAGACTGACTCTGGTGACTCGAGGAATCGGGACCATTTTCTAAGGATTGTCCCTAGATGCTGGTTGACACGATCATGCCTGAACAAGCGCTGGCCACTGCGCGTTTCCATCAAAACCATCAAGACAAGATTAAACGGAAGGCCGCCCAGAGTGTCTGGCACATCCAGGTCTTCCCATTCTGGAGAGGTCACCATGATGGAGTCCAAGAGTCGCATCAGCATCGGAATGTTATCTATCTCAAGGTAGCCTGGATGTGCCCTGTTCGCGAGAACCAACTCCTTTCCCTCGGTGAACATGGATCGGCAGAGGGCGTTTAAGCTCTTGTCGCTCTCCAATGTGTCTTTGAGAGCTGTCACTGTCGGGTCCAATGACTGGCAGGATCTACGTCTTGCCCTGTCAAACACATTTTGTATGCCACGGGTCGCAACGTAGTCTCTGGGAAAGTCGTCTCCTGCAAGATAACGATGATCAGCCACTGTGAAACGCACATATACACCCATGACATATTCTGCATGAAAAAGGATACCTAAGCTCTCGGGGTACTGTTAAAGTATGTGTCCTTACCCTTGACATAATCGCGCATATCTCTGGGTCCTATGTGTCCCATCGTTGCGTGGAGGCGATGGATGGCATCTGCGAGGCAAGGAGTTGGAATCGTCCACTTCCGCTGTGAAAGCTACAAGGCGAGGAGTTAAAATCCTGAATGTTTCCAGATGCAACGGCCGCATTCGTAAAGGTCGCAACCGCCGCATTCGTAAAGGTCGGCCGCATTCATAAAGGACGCAACCGCTGGGTTGGTAGGTAAGGTGGCACCTACATCTTTCTTTTGCGCCCGAAACTACCTTATGTTTCGAGATGTCGAGGCGTCAAAACCCTATGCAGTTGTACGACTATTTGTTAACTGTAGAGAAACTAAGTATAAGTTGCATACTTAATGGATCATTGCACGGATAGGATCTTATAAATGCAATCAAGAAAACAAATTGATCATGGAATTAAGAGATAGAGTCTTCGACTGCCCCTTAATATCCACATAGAAACCTTCGCCTATCAATAATGAAGTGGTAGTTGGCCTGAAACCCAAGGGAATCCAGTGCATGTATGGTAGCATGACTGGTGGGACACGCATTGCAGCCATTCTTGGCGAAGCAGCCCACATCGAATCCAACATTATAAATAGCTCGGAGGAGATGCTTCGTACGGATAGTGGATCTGCTCCAACCGACCGACGCTGATTTCCTCATCCTTCACGATGTATCGTTATATCGTCGGGTTCTTCTCAGTTCCTTGTGCGCTCGCTGCCACCTATTTGTTTCAGGATGTGAGCAACGATAACAGCCTGCCCTTCTATTTCTTTCTCAGCAGCTATGCTATCGGCTTTGTTATGGCAATGCTCTGTAGATATGTACTACCGGTCTACCACTCCCCCTCAAATCCCCTCCTTGGCCATATGGTCAGTCGCCGCAAGGCCATGAACAAAAAATGTCAGATTGAGGGCAAAAGCGCCGATCTCGCATATGGCATGGAGAACCTGTGGTTTAACGCGGATCTGGAGCCCCAAACGTTATGGGTTAACCTAGGCTATTGGGAAGTATGCGATAAGTGGCACCTCTCAAGTTCGAATGGTTGTACTGATATACGTCCGTAGAAAGCCACTCATTCGTCACAGGCGTGCGAAGCGCTCTTTCGCAAACTGCTGGATGAGTCTGGGATCTCGAGGCAGAAAGAAGTTTCGATTGTCGAAGTCGGCTGTGGTTGTGCTGAGACTGCCCAGGTGCTACTAAAGCATTATACGGATGTGTGTCGCACGTGGATCGGTCTGACAATCAGCCCAATGCAGGTCCAGGTGGCGGACTCGAGACTGCAAAAGGCCCAGAAAGCGGCTGCTCATAACTGCGACATCAAGTACCGTATCTACCATGCTGACGCTGCCAGGCCCAACACCTGGAGCGAAGACATCCACCGGAATGTGAAATCGCTGAAGAATCCTTGGCTGGTCGCCGTGGATACTTTCGCCGATTTTCGGCCATCGAGAAAGGCGATTCTACAATACGCTAGAAATAACATGCATGCATCCGTCGCGATCACCGACCATCTGGTAGTGGAAAATACTTCTATATGGGATCGGATGAAATTATGGATTTCATTCCGTCTCCTTGATACACCGCTCTGCCATGTACTCTCCCGCCAGCAATACATTGACTTACTCGTGGAGTGCGGTTACGAGGCCGAGAAAATCTCCTTCGTGCCATACACTGAGCACGTCTACGCTCCTTATAGCCAGTTTATCAATCAGCAAGGACAAAAGTGGCAGGAAATGGGGGGTGGGAAGTGGGATTATATGGACTTTTCTCTGGTTGGCTGGGTGACTGGGTGGTGGGCACGCTGTGGACTAGTAGAGGCATGTATGATAATCGCACGAACGTGATTCCGCGACTGTGGACCGGGCCATATGAAGCTCTTACAATGACACTCTATTGCGAGAATCGCCTAGGCCTCGGCAAACCACGAAAAACCCTTTCTGGGAGAAAAATTGGAAAGAGCGCCGCGTAGATTACAGTTCCTGCTTTGGAGTCTTTCGCCTACACTTCTAATTCTAACCTAGTGTAATACACACCATCTTCTTCTGCCTCGTAGATAGCCTCAGTCTTAGATAGTATGAGTATCACGTCAACTAATCATTCCATTCTCTCTCTCAGTCTGCCAAGTGCCAGCTCCTGAAGGCGGTGCCGGTGGCACAGATCACTGGTGATCTATCGTACTTACCTACAGAGGTACTAATTGAGATATTCATTTGCAGTAGTTTGTTAGATCAAACGTCTCTCTCCCCTGGCTGGTAAATGGATGCTCTTACTATCAACAGACCAGGTGCAGGTCGATTTTGATCTAAGAGAGTTGAGTAAGGGGATCTACTACTTAAAGATGTCTTTCTCGCACAGGTCAAGCCGGCACCTCCATTAGGAAGATTGACATTGGACAGAAAATACGTCTCCAATCTGCAATAAAAAGACACAATTTATTTTTCAATTTTTAGTGGTGTAAAGCACAATCTAGCCTTAATAGAGCTCATCCATCATGTGCATATATGCCTTCAACTCTAGGAGGCCTCTGTGACTGCTCCCATTCTTCAATCCCCACAACACCCACCTTGAGAAAGGAGTCATCCTCATCAATCCGCTTTCTTAGTGGCCCGTTGAGCAGTTCTGTCACATCCCACTTTGCCCATACAAACCTCCCATGCAAGAACCTTGCCTCTGGAGACGCAGCCCACACAGCAAACTGCCCTGGTAAATTCTCTGCATCACTGTCAGCGTTCTCTGCATACATTCAACAGATCTTCAAAGTGGCGCGTGCTACTTACCATCGTCCCATCGAGGGTCATCCTTCTCGAAACCCGCGAGTTCTGCCAGTTCTGTGAAGACACCGCCAGGATGGTAACTAACTATCTGGAGCTCTTCCGGAGGGACGTCCTTAGCGATCTGCTGCACTAGCATTGTCCCCGCACTCTTAGTGGCTGCGTAGCTCGGGTACTGGCCGGTGAGTTTACTCTCGTGGATCGCAAGAGAAGCCAAATTGATAAGTGCCTGCCCGCCCTCGTCAGCATCAAGTCACCTGAATAAATACAGTGGTCTGCGCTCACTTTTTGGCGGACTTTCGCATCTGGCTGCTTGTACAACCGTTCGGTAAAGTCAAGGTGTGTCCGTACGTTGATAAGGTACTCTTCCCACACCTTGTCCCTGCCTAGGTCGAGAATAGGCTGCGCTGAGAGCTTGGCTGCGTTAAGCACCACGACGTCGACAAAAGTATTGTCGCTTGCTAGGCAATTCCACAGCCTATCAACGGACTCAACGTCGGCAATATCGCATCTGAGCCCTACGGTCTGAGTGGAGGGGAACTCGGATGCGAGGCGTGTTGCGGCGGAGGCTACCAAGTTGCCCCGCCGGCCGATGATGATAAGCCTTTTTGCGCTGGCCTGGGCGAAAGCCCGCGCGATGGCATACCCTATGCCCGTGTGGCCGCCTGTGATGAGCACGGTCTTCCCTGCCTGCGAGAGCTCGGGCCGCGACGGCGCGATGGCATGATAGGGAGCATTGTGAACTGTCTGGGTGAAGGCGAAGCCTGGCGGCAAGGTGATAGTAGAAGACATGGTTGTTTTGACAGGTTGAGGCTGAGTACTCTACTCGAATAGAGACTCTGGAGTCTGAAAGTTGACACTCAAGGAGATATATAGTTAGGGTACAAGGCTATAAGCAAACTGTGCACATCCCAAAGGGAAAGACAGTGATAGGCCTACTACAAACCTTAGCATGGTCCATCACATGTGCCAACTCCGCAATAACATGTCGAACCCACATCAAACTCCGCAAAGCCTCCGCCGGATCTCGGTAAGAACTATATGCGCGATTTTGGAGGCCTGTATTCTCAATGTTGCCCTTGTCCTCACCACTCTCTCGCTTTCGTCTGAATCAAAGGGCCGTTCATCCAACGGCTAGTTACATGGTCAAATGTTGATTGGCGGAACTCGGCCACTACGCTACCGATCCGGTGCCATCTTTCCCTGGATTCATTAGGGCACTTAGCCATGAACTTAGCAACTTTGTTATAGTCTTCTAACTACGTGGAATCATGTCAACTCGGTGCGAGATTATAGGACGCATAGACGCAGTCTATCCGCAGTCTCCACGAGCCAGTACGAATTTGGCCGCAGTTATGTTCTGCTCCAGGCAAATAATGGGCCAGCACTGCTCCTTGGAGATGCCGTTTCGATCAACTATCGCCTGATAAAACTAGCGAGATGTGGTGGAAATGAGACTGGTATGGCATTAAAATCTGGTGGAGATTGCACCGATATTCATCAGCAAAGTACTAGAAAATGCTCTGTTTGCAAATCTCCGCCGCTAGGAGTCATCAGCTAGATTGGTGGCGTCGACCTTCCAGATCCATCTGTAAGTTTTTGTCCTGGCTCTCGTCCGGCAATGGAGTGGCCGTGTCACGGATCGTTATGAGTGGACCTTTGTTCCGTGCTGCGCTAGAATCCGTTACTTTTCTTCACCCTCAGCCAGCACTACGAGTCACCTGTGCGCGCACATCCCGAGGATCACTGACAGCCTGCGTTGGGACACAGACTTGACTATGCAGACCATGGATAATCTTTAGGATCCATTGAGGGCTCATGCATGCTCATGCTGGTTTCAGGATTGTGATATGACAGGCAGGGGCTTGTGCTGTTCAACCTTCTCTCGTTGTGTGTACTTGTCCATCCGGTAGTTCGCCAGCGTGACACATATATCAACCTGTCCGCTTAGCAGCATATCCGCGGCGCAGAGGGGCCCCAGGATATCCTGCCCAATATGAGTAAAGGAAACAGGGAGCTTATTTTCACCCTTTTCCATCATCGCCATGCGTCTTAAGCCTCCCTATTAGTCCCCCCCCCCCCCCCCCCCCCCTCTGTCCTACCACTGCTAGATATGAGGGCTAGACTTCTTAGTGGATGGGCCTTTTGAATTTGCAAAAAGGGAGTTTTAAATCGGTCACAAAGACGATGTGGTAGATGGATGAAGAGGGGATGCACCATCCCCGATAATAAATTGTTCTACCGTCGCAACACCTACAAAGCTACACGCGAACAAGACCAGTTAGTAAGGCACAGACGAGAAGCTTGGGGACTGTTGGAAGAGGACGGGTATGAGACTCACGCAGCAAGCATGATCCATGAGAGGGGATCGACATCCACAGGCTTAGCCACCTTGGCAAAGTCCTCGATGAAAAAGTTCTGCACAAATGTCTGCCGTTGTCGATGCCACGCGAGGAAGAAGGCGGGACTGCTATCAGCCCTCCAGAGGGAGCCAGATGCCGTCCATCGGTGCACGCGTACAAAATGTCCCGGGTCAGGCATGGTGGTGTCCTTGCAACCCGACCACTTGAGCAGTGCATAGAAGGCGATAAATGTGTAGCCCATGAGGATTGTCCGTCGGAGGGACTCGTTGATAATCCAACTCTGGAGCATAAGTATTCAAATCAGTCAGGGTGGCCATTAAAAAGCAGATAAGTGGCGCTAGAAACATACCTCCCAAGACATGGGAGCCCTCTGCCTCACTTCGGCTTCTTCCAGGAGACACATCTCTGCCAAGTTGTCTCTGTATTGTTCGAGCTCGAGGAGCCATGCTTCGAGAATAGTCATATCTCGGTCTGCCTGGGAGCGGAGCCCGATATCCCCATCGAACACCCTCAAAACCTGGTACATCCAGAGAGCCTGCGTGTTCGCTAGTTTTTCATATACTGTATTTGCCGCGCCAGTCCCCACATCAGCCGGGCCCTGAGCCTGAGCATGCAATGCCGTAGTGGTCGTCGACTCGTGCGATTGTCTCGTCGGGTGATGATGATGACTGTGTGCAGCTCCCTTGGGCACCGCCAGGAGATCATCGACTCCCTCGGAGAGGACACGCAGGGCCCAGTCACGATTGCTGTCGTTGTGAGCGACATATGCAGACACTGCGGCGTACAGGGTGATTATAGAGCGCGGAATGTTTTGACGATAGAGGTGGCGGTGGAGGAAAGGTGCCTCCTTAGTTCGGACAAAGACACTAGGTATCTCCTTAATTGATTTGGTCATGAGGCCGATCTTGGAGTCGGACTGGTAGAGCCTCCAAGGTTGGAAGTCCTCCTGTTCCATGAATAGTGAGCCATGCCAAGCACTAGATAGGGTTCACAGTTGCGTAGTATAAGTCATAATAGTGCCTCGATGGTGACGAAGGGCGCTCCAATGTTGAGATAGAATTGCACTTTCAAGTTGGCGTAGAACAGGTGACAACGCAGGCAATATTAAGCATAATGATGGACTACGCAGTTCACAAGGACAGGAACTAACTTACAGAAACGTCGCGACATTCATCTACGGGAAACCGGTGATTAGCGTGCAGTGGCGAGCCGGAGATTCTGGATATCGCGGTCATACTCGTCTGGACCTGGATCGCTAGAGCGTGCCACGGCTGCATGTCAAAGGGTTGGGGTGTGTCTGTCATGTAATTCGTGAGGTTGTCGAAGTTTAAAAAGGACAGGTCGAATGAGGGTGTTGGGCCGACGAGTGGCATCTGAGAGTTCTCCGCGTCAGCAGCACTGGAAGCGAACAGCTCTTGGATCACAGGAGGCCCACGTACTGAGGGGCTGCCAAATTCAAAATCGGCGCCAGGAATTATGGACCGTTCATCAGGTGCGATGATAAGATCTTCGAAGTCGACATCCACGGCGTGTGTGGTAGAGTTGTCCGAACCAGATGCCGCGGGGTTCTTGGGATAAAGACAAGATAAGCCTCTCTCAGCGCAACGAGTGCACTGCGGAGTTCGCTTGTCGCAGCGCCGTTTGCTGCGGACACAAGCATTGCAGCTTTTCTGGCGCGACTTGTCGCTGGTCCAGGGATTGACCATGGCCCTGCACTGAGAAACGAGGGAGATCGGGTGTCACTATCGACCAAGGTCGACGAAGCTTAGGCGGCGAGTGATGGCGATTCTTCAATGCTTCGGGAGGAAAGAAAGGCTATCTTCTGAAAGCTGTATCCAGAACTAACTCTTGCACAGCGACGGGGGATTAATCAGTAGCTGTCCCTATAACCTAGAATTCTTAGGAAAGGGGCATTTAGCAATCCCGGTCGTTAGTATTCCATGGTTGAGCCGTACCATCCGCTTTTCTATATTTTAGTCTTCCAAAGTACATCGGGCAGATTCCTACAGGATGACGATCCTTGATCAGGAGAGACCATCAATTCATGAGCTTGACCTCTGGATTTTAGCTACAGCATTCTAAGTATTCATTGGATTTCAGTAAAACGACAACAAAGACAGGCGTATGCCGTAACGTCATTAGCTTGCTCAATTGGACAGTACAGGCGCCTTGCCAACCCACTCAGAGTCCCCGGTTATATGGTCCAATACCCAGGTCGCCAAACTCTTTCTAGATAAGAACATACCATCGTCTCCAGTTCCTGTATATGAAGCCGTGACAGGTGCATTGGGCCCATTGGTTAAAAACGGCACTCGGAACAAAGTACACTTGAGTTGCGAGACATCTTGGGATGCTACAAACTCACCAAGCCCCCTAAACTCGTCATAAGCAGACCCGCCTATGATCTTGATAAGAATAACCGATGCTTTCCACTTAAGACTGCCTTTGTCTTGTGGTGCAGGATACGAGCATGTGCCAAGAACCATTGCCCTCTCATAGTGACTCTCCACCAGAATAGGAAATATGCGTTTCATAGCATCGGTCACAGGCTTAACCACTCAGTCAACATGTATATTCAAAAGGTAACAGAGTACGCTGATCCTTTGACGTACCGTTCCTTTTGACCTTGGTACAGGCCCTGCAAATGAGACAAAGATTGTAGGACCGGAAGTTGCCGTGCGTTGGAAACTAGCAATATCTTCCAGAGTGCCTTTCACAATTGAGACATTTGCACTGTTGCGTATCTCATTAGGAAGCTTCGCTGGGCTTCGCACATAGAGAGTTAATGTGTGCCCTTGCAAAAGTGCGGCGTTGCAGAATTCTAAGCCTGATGGCCCTATCACAAGTTGAGAAAGTCAACCTAAAACATCGTTTGTAACAGAAATGGCTCACCAGTAGCTCCAATAACTAGTATGTGTGCTGCCATCCTCAGCGCAGCAATGAATGATTCTGTTTGAAATGCTTCATGAAAACCAGGATGAGCTGTGAGTGAGGTTCTAGGAATTCCAGCTGCTGGTATTGATCTGGGTACGCATAGAAGACGGACCCCGGACTTCTATACGTACCCCGGATGCAAATTGCTTCCGACTGACAAATCCTCATCTTGAGTTTAACTAACGCGAGTACCCATGGTTACGGAACTTATTGTCAGGTCCGCAGAGGCGATCATCCATGAATAATCTGCTCAGCCAATCACGTTATTTCTGTCGATCAACGCAATCTTTGTCATTGGCACCATTATTTCTAAGCAACTGCTTTGCGGAAGCAAATTGCCCACGCCCACAATCGGAAATGTTGTCCCCGGCAATGAAGACTATGAAGTGTTTGTGCACGCAAAGTGCAGCTTACCGGAGTTTTCTCTGCTTGAAACTCGGGAGCTCTTGCATCCGATGATGGTACAATTCAAAGTATTTAAGCATCCAAGCGCATAGTGCTTGGGAATCCGAGGTCTTTTCCATACTCCATCTTCGGTTCAAATCAACGCGATGGGTGGCTCCGAAAGGGCGCGTGCTATGTTCTTTTCCCATGGGTCTGGCCCCTATGTGCTTATGGGAAACGACCACCAACGACCGTTGATCAACGTTTTGCAATCCCATGCCCACATCCTCGACAATGCCCGCGGCATCATCGTGTTTACTGCCCATTGGGAGACGACACACCCTCATATATCTGCAACGCCCAATCCACAGCTCTACTATGACTATGCTGGCACACCTGGTCTTCCACAGGAGGCATTCGAATACCGATACGATGCGCCAGGAGACCCTGATTTAGCAGCTCGGATCGCTAGTACTTTACAAGCTGCAGGATTCCAGCCAATATTGAATACTGAACGAGGATGGGACCACGGGGTGTTTGTACCTTTGATCGTCATGCGGCCACAAGCAGATTTGCCTGTCATCCAAATGAGCATACTCAAGGGAGAATCAGATGAGTCTGAGGCAGAGAGAAATCTCAGATACGGTGCTGCCATGGAAAGATTCAGAGATGAAGGTTATGTGTTCTTGTTCAGCGGCTCCTCATATCACCATCTGGCAAAAGTCTTGGAGGCACTCCCAGAAAGAATGGGGAATGGAAAAGTGGACGTGTCCACGCAAGAATTCGAAGCTGAGCTTGAGCGTGTTGCTGCAATTTCGGATGCAGACAAGAGGTCCGCTATTCTGAGAACATGGCGGCAATTTCCTCAAAGCTATGAGGCCCACCCCGCTGGCAAAGCAGAGCATTTCATGCCCTTCCTAATCGGTTCTGGAGCGGCTGGGAACGACAAGGGTGAGAGGACGCAATCCTGGGAGCTGTTCGGGGCCACCATGAGCACCTTTGTCTGGTGAATTTCGAATCCAAGTCCAACCGAATTGTTAGGAATTGATTAAGTTCCCATGTACGAGTCAAGGAGCTTTTAGCCTCTTAGTTGATGTAGTCAGAAACTGCATAGACCGCCAGTGTCCCGCTTCACCCTTATCTAAACCTGCCTGCCGACAGGGTGGGAACGAAACAAAATCAGGACACTTAATTGACTAAGCTGTACCATTTCCACAATGTCATAGACTGGTCGTCATCCGAATCTACATAAAAGTGAATCCGTACGTTTCTGGATTTAACGACGATGGTGAAAGTAGGCTTGCAGATGGAGATAACTGCAGTTTAGGAATCAGACCAGAAAAGGTCCTGGCAGCAATGGAACATAGGTGGGGTATGTTGCCCATAAGCCCGTTTGCAAGCTGCATACTACTAGTTCTGCCGTTGGCATAAGACAAAATTTTCTGCGCCATAGTTAATAAAAAGGGCTTTTTTCCCCTCATCTTGATTGTCAATGTAACTTACCTGCCCATAACCTTGAAGACCTGAGGCGGTACTAACGCTTGGTGAAGTCGAAGTCTCCCTGCCGTTTGCTGCTTTTGAAATGGCATGGAGCGCTAGTCTTTCAAATTCGGAGCATAAATCCAGCAATAATTGTACCTCGAGGAGCTTGTCTTGTTGGACCCTTGTCAGGAATTTGACGAGATGACCAATGTATCGTGTGTGGGAATGTGCTTGTGCATCGGTAGGGTTCTCAAGCACTATCGCCACCAGAGTGATGCAGGCAGATATAGGATAGCATAGACTATACCTAGGAGGCAATCAGAAGGATGATATTTTGCACACCCAGGAGAAATACGTACCAAAGATGTCCAGGTTGCTCACAAGGCAAGTATTGCAGTATATGGATTATTTGTGCGGCTGCCGATGCCTGAATCATCCTTGACGACTGAACCTGTCGAATTGCACTAATATCGCCTTCCTGGTTAAGGTGTGCTGCAAAGCCATGAATCTCACTGAGGGTGCAATAGTAAGCAAAATGTAATAGGATGATAGGCTCCTTGACTGTTGGCATTGTTGACCAGACAATACGATCAGGTTGAAAACTCGACGGAAGCTTCGCTTTCCAATTCTCCAGTTGATGGTCAAGCTCCGCCACAAGGTCCAGAAGCTGATGTACATTCTGCCTTCCAGCCGATCCGGAGTAGAGCCTTTTCTCGACGCTGAATTCAATCCTCGCTAGTTCAGCCTTCAATCGAAAACCAGAGGCTGACATGCTAGTTCCTGGGACGTTTCCATCCATTGCAGACGCAGACAGAAGCAGATCTGGGTAGTCGATATTTATCGCATCGTCTTCAAATACAGAGGGCAACCCTGTCTTCACAGATATGCTCTTGTCGAGTATATATGCGATCCAGAAGGCCCTCTTATGGCGGTTAGCGGCGGCAGGGTCAAGGACCGAGTAAGATTCCCTTCGGTGTAGTCCAAACGCCAATGATAGACGTCCGGCCGCACACACGAGAACGGACGTTGTTCGCACATCACTCGATCCCTGCGTATATATAGCCATGGCAAGAAGCGCTTCTAGGCCCAAAACGTCTGCCGCTCGTAGGGCAATGACTGAATACATGCTGAATGCGTTCTTGAAGAAGTGCCAGGACAGTTCCGTCATCTCGCTATACGAGCCCCTGGCGGTCCGTAGCTGAATCGCGACCGCTATCGTAGCATTCAACATGGCCCAGCGTCCAGGTTGCTTCCCTGGTGGAACTGTAGGGTCTGAATAGTGTTGTTCCACCAGATCCCTTAAGACAGGGACATCAAATAGCGGTAGGACGTGATTGGCCTCAGTAAAGGCCACCTCAAACATGGGTTGAAGCTGGGATTTTGGAGGGAGTTGGATAAAGACCGAGCTGGTGAAAGGGCCGCGGTTTGCTTCCAACCTGAGCTTTCTCGTGTTTTGCTCCGGAAACATTCTGAACAACCTCTCCCTAAGAGCCGAATTTTTCCTCTCGTAACCATCAGGTATTATCGATGGCCCAGGGAACCTTGCTTCTGGCTCACAAGAAATAGGCTCGTGCCTTCGTTCATTGTGGGAGGCAGTGGTGAATGAATTCCCCGCACCTGATAAAGTAGACTCAGGCTGTTCCTCTGCCCACGCCATGGTATTGTTCGCCGACCCCACAGGAACATTTGCTGCACGGCGCAGAGAAGCCTCTAATTCCGTAACGCGAGCCTCGAGCTTCCCTAAATAGGCTTTTCTGGAGTAGAGTTAGTCGATGACGAGAGCTGGTCTCAAGATGGCCGCTGACGTTTTCCCTCGACCTCTCCGTCTCACTCCCTGGTAAATACAAGTCAAATGGCGGTCTGCACACGAGGTACACTGAGGAATGTTGCCGTCGCATCGTTTCTTTTTCTGTTGACACCGTAGACATGCCTACCGCAGGCTGTTAAGAGGACCACAATCCTGGACAAGATTCTCTTACGTTGGCGGTTCTTCTACCTCGTTCAGTAAGTGGCAAATCCTTGCCTTTTGCTGAAGACTCCATGCCGACAAACAATTCCGATAGACAGCTGGTAACTGACTGTTACAATGCGCTGATTCAAATCAAGGTGGGCCGCCAAGATGAAATATTTGAGGAATACTAACCAGTCAACGCGGATCAAAAAGACGTGTGAGCATCAACCTATAGTTTCTCGATATTGGTGCGACAACAGGATGGAATATGGATTTCCTTCGGAAGCAAATTGCATCCGGCTGAGGAATCCTCCCGCGATAACTTCTGGAAGTTCTGGTTATATCAAGGTTGCAGCCAATCACAGTATTAAGATTGATGAAGTAGCGTCGGATCGGGTGCGGAAATTCTCTTATCAGTAGTTCAGTACCATTATTCCTAAGCATTGCTTACAGAAGCATATTCCCACACTTGCAATCGAAGCCTTCCGCTACGATGGCTGTGGTGCTTTAAGAACTATACAAAGGCGACCTCCCTTGTCTTTGTAGTTGCTAAACATCAACCCCCTTTATTTTCTTCCAATACCATTCCCAACAATAACCATACGCAGTCGCTGGCGGAACGGGCAAGCTTGGCCGGGCAATTGTGGAAGCTCTGAAGAATACCTCAGCCCCTAGTGTCGCAGTTCTCACGAGAAGAGTATGTGGTTGGTACATAACATCTGTGTCCGCGTTTGCTGAAAGTGAAATCTTGTAGGCAAACGATGATCTGGCAAACAATGACTTTTAACGTACGGAGTAGTTTTCCCAGCTCTGTATCTTCCTCAAATAAGCCATTCTAATCGCACTTTCCATATAGCTACCACTTATGGTAGATAGTAGGTATGGGCTATATTAGCTACCTCCTAGCACATTACACCAGAATATAGTTTTCTATTAACTATATTCTTCCTAAGAAAAATATTAAACACCCTAGTGCACGATGCAGGTGAAAAGAGCACAGGGACGACCGGACCAGGGAGTCACGTGTTCCACAGTCGCGTCAGTCGAGAACGTATTATGTTGCTGTCTGGCTAAATCACCTCACTAAACAAGCAGAATTTGTTCAGAGATAGGATGGGAATTGAAAACTTGGTACATTAAACGGGGTGTGGTTGCGTCTAAGAAGCCGAGATGTCGCTTCCCTGTGTCATCGGAGCTTCCGCGGACTGTCCATGACGGCGCGGGATGTTGATAGTAGGGAGTACAGTTGTTCACTTCCAGCCTTGAATATCGTCCGTCCGTGGAGTCTCCGACTATCCTGTATTATGCTCAGTAAGGGGGCAATGACTGACATTATAAAACGATGTCTCCTCTTGCTCCATCGCGGACTTCTTACCGTACCAAGCAGCCACTACAGTCACACTGTCCGACAATAAGAGGATCGTTTTTCTTCTCAATCAAGCTGCCTTGTTTACCAAATGGCATCGGAACCACGAATCGATATGACTGACGAGAAGCCCCCTAGCGAGTACACGTACGTTCAGAACTCAACAGCACAAAACAAAATTTCGCGCCACGGACTAACTCATGGCATTTTTCTAGACCACGAGCGAACTTGACCATTCTGGGCTCTTTTACCGGACTTTTCTGCACAGTGGGCTTCTTGAACTCGTTTGGTGCCTTTGAAGAATACTATGCGAAGAATCAGCTTGCGAATAAGTCTGAATCCACGATCGCATGGCTTGGGGCTCTCAGCATCTTCTTTGTCTTCTCCGTGTCCGTAGTGTCTGGCCCTCTGCTTGACGCCTTTGGACCAAGGGTGCGTCCCTCATACTACTCCTGAACTGTTATGTAGCTGACAGACCGCTTAGCTGTTGCTCTATGTCGGCTCATTCGGGACAGTGTTCTCAATCATGATGACCTCGCTTTGCAAGGAATTCTACCAGTTCATTCTTGCACAGGGTATCTTGCTCGGTGTGTCTCTAGCACTTTTGGTCTGCCCCATGCTTGCTCTCGTCGGTCAGTATATCAAGGTCAAGCGTGGAGCCGCTATGGGGATCGTCATTGCAGGTTCATCCCTAGGTGGTGTAATCTGGCCTATTGTCATTAACGAGCTCCTGAAAAAGCCCAATATTCGATTTGAATGGACGATGCGCATCGTTGGATTCATCATGATGCCTCTTCTTGTCATTTCGTGTCTTTGTTGTCGGCCTCCTAAGACTCCAACAGCTACGAAGAGGCTGCCAGACAGACCAGACGCCAACGAGGCTGTGATCCCAGAGCAGGAACCTGTCAGTACTCCCAAAACAGGATTTTCGATCTTGCGAGAGTCCAAAATGCGGGTGACTTGCCTTGCATTTTTCATCACCTATTTCGGCATGTTTTCCCCTTTCTTCTTCACCACATCCTATGCCGTGGCACAGGGCTTCTCCGCCGACTTGTCATTCTATACAATATCCATTATCAATGGAGCGTCCCTTTTCGGCCGCATTATTCCGGGCATTCTTGCGGATCGATATGGTCGGTTCAATATCTGCATTCTCGCGACACTCTTATCCGGTATCATCGCATTATGTTGGACAACTGCCACATCTGTTGCAGGCTTGGTAATTTGGTCCGCCGCATATGGATTTACTTCTGGAGTGAGCCTTTCTCAAGTCTGCGGTCCCTTCATGAGAATTCTGACACCCTTTTAGGCCATTCTCTCCCTTCAACAAGCGTGTGCAGCCCAAATTGCCACACCAAACACCTTGGGCTTATCAATCGGTGCTGTCATGGCATCTACATCGCTTTCGTATGTACCTACATCTTTCAACATGCAAAGCTAACCTTTACACAGCGCAATGGCAGGCATCCCTATCAGTGGCGAACTGGCTGGCAAATATGGATATCTGTCGCTTTCTATCTACTCCGGTGTTAGCCTCTTAGTCGGTACTTTGCTGCTTGTCGTAGCGCGTCTGATGCAGAATCGGGATTTGCTAGCATCTGTCTGAGATCTTGGAATATGCAACAGTTGACCTAGTGTGTGGTGCCGCAGTGTATTGTGTAATAGGCACTGACAGCCACAATGTTGAATAGACTAGAATGCCTGCTCAGCCCTCCTAATCGTGTTTCTCCCTTCAAGCATTTCGATGAAGAAGCTCCCTATGTCTTGATTTTATATGGTTTTCATGCTGAGATAGAAAAAGCTTTGTCCCTAGTCTACTGGAATAAAATGGCCGCAAAACGACGTGATATGTGACATGAATTGCCAAGCATAGATCGAAGCCAAAATGGCGATTAGGTTGCGAAGGCAAAAAACAGTCGTAGAAATTAAAAAGCAAAAAATGGACTCGCGGGGAATCGAACCCCGGACCACCCCCATGCTAAGGGGGTATTATACCACTAAACCACAAGCCCAGTTGTTGAAAGACGGAGCCATAATTTGTTATATAGACATGTATGTCTCATATAGATTCCTAAATATTTCATTGATGCGGTCATCTCAGGTCATCTCATTCCTGCTGATATCAATAAGGTGGTCAAATCAAACTAGAAGAAGATGCAGAATAATGATAAAAATATGTTTATACTATTGGTTCTCTGTACTTGATTGATAGCAACATCTCTACCCAAAAAGGTCTACCTACTGCTGAGGCGAATCCTCGCGACCGTCCTGCCAGCTGGTACAGTTGACACAGCGCAATGCCTAAATACATTAGAACTCCTGATCTTCCACAGCGAAAGAAAGGGAGATACCTTCTCACTGATGTACTTCCGACAGTATTTGCATCGCACTGTTTGCTTGATAACCTGGTCATGGGAGATCCACGTGTAGAGATGCCCGATCGCATACAATGTAAGACTGACACCGAGAAAGCTGATCACTGTCTCAAGGAATGCGCTGTCACATTGTCAGCTCAACAAACTCATATGAGTTGTCAGGTAATCTTGCTGGGGATCATACCCATAAGCCAGTACCAGGGCGCCATCGTTTTGCGCCTGCTCGAGGGTATTGTACCCTTTCTCCTTGACATAATGCGGCCCGCGTCGGAGCACAGCAAACTTCTCGTCCATGTTGCGATGCAAAAATGGAAGAAGAGCAACAATGGGAAGAATGATGTCGGAGACGAAAGACGTCACCACCTTGGTAAATGCTTGGGCGATACTAGACGCTGTCAGTCAATTGCTTTTAGAGAGGTTAGGACAGTCCTACATCAAACCTAACGCGACCTCGAGAACGTTGTCTCGCACGGCGAAATCGACGAAGCCATCCCAAGCACGCTTGACCGTACTTTGGGCGCTTTGGCCTGCACGAAGGAGCGCTTCGGTGCTATCGTCGAGGCGAGGCATGTCGCTGTTGGATGTGTTGAGATCTGATGCTGAAGAGGAACAGTATGGTGTCGTGGGCCGTGGCGGGTCGATCATTTATCAGTGTTAAACGCGTGCTTTCATCATCCCGTCATGTGCCGCTGTCAATCAATAAACACAAAACTTGGAAGCGATTACGCGTAACCAATCATTTTATTTGGATGGGATTTAAGGTTATCAATTCTAGTCCATTTATTTTCGGTGCGCTTCCTTGATGGGTCAGAGACACTGCAAAAGAACTTCCCGGAGTACTACATCAATAACAACCAGAAGAGGCATGATTAGAGAATATATATCCCAGTTTCCGCTTCCTATAGCCGAATGCCTCCCCACATCAGGGAAAGGCCACAACTAGGATGGAGATCTACCACTGCTGTGACCCATTCTTCATAAACAACGTTCATCAACTTCTAATCGTCTGACTATTAAAACAATCCCTCCGATCTTCTCCACTGATAGTCCAGCACGTCACTCGCTTTTTCGGCGCAGAGCAAGCCACAGAAAACCTCCACAACATACAACGCAGCGTCAAAGCCACTGGAAATCCCACCAGATGAGACGACCCGCACCCCATTATCCAGCAAGCCGGCATCGACAAACCTCTTTCGAACAATCTCAGTCTGCCCATACTTTGCACAGAGCTCCGCTAGCTCTGGAATAATTGTATAATGGGTTGTCGCGCGTCGGCCCGCAAGAATGCCTGCGGAAGCGAGGAAAAAAGCCCCGCTGCAGACTGAGAGAAGGAGTCAAGGATGGACTCGAGATTCATCCCTTGGCAGAGAAGAAAACTTCTGAATGATCTGGATAACTGGAAAGTCCGTAGAACAGAGCTCCTTCGTCACCAGATAGCTTGCGCCGGGGACAATAAGGACGTCGAACTGTGCGAGGGACGACGTGGCTTGCTCGAAGCTGATGTTCCGTTTGATGATCAGGTCCTGTAGGGTGGTGATTTCGCCGCTGGGACCGGCGACTGTGATGGAGAATAAACGGTCACCAGACGGGCCTCGAACATGCGACAGCGTTTCCAGTGGCCCGGCGAAGTCGACCAGGTCCATTTTCTCGAAACTCAGGATACAGACTTTGATGGGCTGGATGGTTTCTGGCATGTTGCAGGGACTTGCAGCTGTTGTTCTGGCAGGGTATAGAGAAGAGAAGATCGCCGAATCTAATCTCATCCGGGATCTCAACAGAACTTTATATCATCAATCCTTGTACTCTTTGATCCCAAAGTCAGCTGCAGATGTTTCATTTGTGACCGTTCCGGTATACCAGGAAGGCTAGTGCTGACGCACAATAGTAAGAGCAACCCCAATAGGTCAAAAGAGGAAAATGCCATATCGCATTAGACTCGACCAAGTCTTCAGGCATTCCGCGCTAGACAGCCTTATGTCCGTAACGCTCCTACGCTCCTACTGGTCCTTTACTTGAATTTCATTGCTCATATCATCCAGAGTTCCAGACAGACACAACGATGATCCGACTGCACCAGCACAAAACAGCACGTGCAGTGGTCTTGGTACTCCTTATCTTTGCTGGTCTTGTCTTGCAATATATCAATCAGAGTGCAGGACCTGTTGAATATCAGGTCGCGCATGCAGGTGTTACTCAGAGGCAGTCAAGCTCCTGCAATCTCACTGCAGACACCGTATCTTAGAGCAAGACAGAACGAAGATTGTAGTGAACCACCACTGGTATCAGCCCAATATCAATTATAGAACTCGGTGCTCTGAGCGACAGAGTGATACTTCACGCTAGCTTTAAGATGATAGCGCTCTATCGCTCCTTGGACGAATGTAGACTCCGGACGACCTGTAATGGAAGCCCATCTCACAATCATCATAGCCCCCGGGTAGAGAGTACTTGGATTTGATGTTTGGGCCCTTTGCGCCTCTTATACATTGTCATGGCCTGTATTATCTGTCAATGTCGACTGAGCGTAAATGCGCCCGGAGACAAGTCTATTCCAATGATAAACATCAAGCGCTCTTAAACAAGTTCTGACCCACAGTCCTTCGACCTTAGCCTTTCTTATTCGAACCTCGCATATCCCTCTGATCTAGGCTACTAGTTAAAAGCGATGACCCTGTTCCTGTTTCATGTCTTCCGAATCAAGCAATGTTTCCTGCACGCGAGTCAGTGCTGGAGCTGGACGGCCACCCTCACGATTGTGCCCCACAACATCCTACTATGTTTCTTCCTGCCTCGGTTCGACGGTTTATCTCTGGTGCCTGAGAGTCATTGCTAAAGTCTACTGCACACCGTCAATGAGTGCCAGTGCACTTGTTCTCCTGAAATAGCCGCTACTCGGGCTCATTTTTAGCCTAGTAATCAAATACAGCCAGCAGATTTTGGTCATCAGCGCTGGCATGTGCCCTTGGAAGGTAAATTCAAGAAACTTGAGAGCACGCAAGTGGCATCAGTTACGAATACGAATGTTTGGTCAAAAAGCTCCAGGTCTAGATCCGTCAAAGTACCTGGCTACAACGGAGCTTTTCCGCTATTATTGAGCTTTGCTCGCTGGTTCCCAACGATCCGAGACCTACCGTTTTACCCTACCGGAAAAGGGAAAAAGGGAGTTGCAAGGTGACCAATCCCTTTGTCCTAACAGAACATGTCCACTTTTATCAAACTATCCGGTTAGCTTCCTTGAAACATTGGAATTGGTGGAGTGCTTGGCACGCGCTTGAGGCTGGTGGTGAGACCGACTGGGTGTCGCACTAGGCGATTAGGGTCCTTCAGGGTGCTATATTCATCAACTTGCGACTGAGGGGCTGCTTTCTGACATGGTGAGCGCAATCAACTTGAAGCTTTGCTGTTGGCACTATTTGGAGTGAGACCATGCAGAATATAAACCTGCGAGTCGCCATGCTTGCATGCTTTCTTTCAGTCACATTCCAGTCATTCTTTCTGTTTCAGTTAATTTGTTCTCGGTCGGCTTAGTCGTTGATCGACTCTACATTCTTTCACTATGTATTTCTTTTCCCTGGTAGCCGCGGCCGGTCTCGCGCATGCCTACACTGTGGTCGTCGCTGAGCAGTTCATGCTGAAGAACATTGATCCTATTGTTCTTCCTGGCCAGTACAAGAGCCACATGCACAGCTTCTTCGGATCTGATGCCGTCACCATCAACACAAACACCTCGGCCGAGCTCCAGGCCGGTTGCTCGACCAACGAGAACCCCAACGACCTCTCCGTCTACTGTACGCTTCTCTCTGCCTTTCAAACTATGAGCCAATCTAACCAAACCAGGGATCCCAACCTTATACCTGACCGAAGGCGGCAAACACACCCCCATCACCCCCATGCGCTTCAGCGCCTACTACGTCAACATCGGCGACGCCGAAATCCCCTTCCCGCAGAACTTCAAAGCCGTCGCCGGCAACGCCAAGGGCACGTCCCAGGCAGACGTCGACCGCGTCTACGGCATCCAGTGGATGTGCGAGGGCGTCTCCAACACCGACGGCGGCAAGGACGTCGCCGCCTTCCCGACCAAGACCTGCCCTACCCATCTGCAGTCCATCCTGCTGTTCCCGGACTGCGTTAACCCAGATACCCTCGACTACGCCTACTCAGGCACCCAGAACTGGAGCGGCAGCTTCCGGCCCGCGAACCGCTGCCCGGCGGGCATGAAGCGCATCCCGCAGCTGCGGTTCTCCATTCGCTATGATCTGCGCAAGCTGCTGCCGGATGGGTGGTCCGGCACGCCGCCGCTGGAGTTGGCGTGTGGCTCGTCGTACTGCTGGCATGGCGATTTTATTAATGGATGGGTTCCTGAGGCGGCGGAGAATATGCTTAAGGCGACGGATAAGCGGGAGTTTATGCAGATTGATGGGCCTCTGGGTGGAGGCAAGGATGGGTCCAAGTGTGGAGCGAAGAATGCGCACGATCAGGATCCTAACCATGGGACGAGCGATTATGAGGAGAGCGTGAAGATGATGTCGAGCAAGAGGAGTATTGGCCAGCGTCGGTGATCTAGCCCCTGATACCGATCCTGTCTATGTTCAGGATGAGGGCTCCGCGATGTATGTACAGTAATTCAGAAAAGCTATCTCCAGTATTCTCGCTCCTTTTTTTTCCTCCCTAAGTACGATCGCTTTCACCTGCACATCAAGGTAGTGCAGATAAACTAAGTCCAGAAGGACTTGCCTGTCGGCGGATTGTTATTCAAGGCACATTAAAGGGCATATTTTTGTGCTATAGGAGAGATGGCAGCATATTTCGTTAATTCCGTAAGCTGACACAGTGGCTTAGGAGGTGGCGCTTTAGGGCATTAGAAAGGTGGCAGGGAAATAGGGGCTGAACTTAATGACCTGATAGTTAATAGATGACAACGAGGCTTATGACTGGCTGTGGGGGTAAGCTGACCCTTGGCGTGAATAGTCGAATTGCCCAACCATCTTAAACCCGGAACTCGGAATTAAGCATGGCTAAAATAATCAAAATGGAGAAACTGGAGTTAAGAAGATTCATGATGGTCATCACTTGAAAATCCAGCCGAAAGGGTTCTTTCTATGTGACAAACTTTCTGTATAAAATCCGCCTCATAGTCCTTTCCAATCTGCTGTCTATAATCCTTCGTCAATTGCAAAGCAGAATTTACTATCATCTTCCTTTAGAATCAGTGTAATCACCAGACGGCATCATGACAGCACCCTACGCGGACGTCCACAAGAACCCCCAAGGCCCAGGGGATGCTCGCCCAACAGCTATGCAGATCATACATGACGAGGGCCTAGAAGGAAAACTGGCCGGCTCCTCGATCCTAATCACCGGCGCATCCTCAGGCATCGGCGTCGAGACCGCCAAAACACTCTTCACAACCGGCGCAACCCTCTACCTCACAGCCAGGAACCTCAACAAAGCCAAACAAGCCCTCGGCGACATGGCGTCCTCTCCGCGCGTACACCTCCTCGAACTGGACCTCGAATCCCTCGCCAGCGTGCGCGCCTGCGCCGCCCAGCTCCTCTCCAAGACCAAAACCCTCAACATCTTCATCGCCAACGCCGGCGTCATGGCCACCCCAGAGGGACGCACCAAGGACGGCTTCGAGACCCAGCTCGGAACCAACTACCTGTCTCACTTCCTGCTCTTTCTCCTCCTACGCCCGGCGCTTCTGGCCGCCACGACCCCACAGGCGAATTCCCGCGTGATTCTCCTCTCGTCCATCGCGCACCGGTACTCGGAGGTGGAGTTTGACAACCTCAACCTCGACGGCGAGTACGACAGGTGGAAGGCGTACGGGCAGAGCAAGTGCGCGCTGGTCTGGGCAGCAAATGAGATCGACCGTCGCTATGCCTCGCGTGGTCTGCGTGCGTTTAGTGTCCAGCCTGGTGGTATTATGACCGGACTGGCGCAGCACTTGTCTGAGGAAGAGCAGAGCGGATTCACTGAGGATCCGACGCTTGGGCCGCGGCTTAAGAGTCCGCAGCAGGGTGCTGCGACTTCGGTTTGGGGGGCTGTCAGCAGATCCCTGGAGGGGATGGGCGGGAAGTATCTTGAGGATGTGCAGATTGCTGAGCCGCATGATGCGAGCGGGGGTCCGTGGGCGCCGGGGTATGCCCCGTATGCGTATAGCCCGGAGAAGGAGAGGAGACTGTGGGATGTGTCGCTGAAGTTGGTGGGTGTTGATGAGTAGAGCAGGACAGCAGGTCGAATTCCTTTCAGTATGTATTTTGTTTGAAATGAATTCAGCAGGTGCAGAATCTTAAACATATTTATGTGTTATAGTATTGAATTGGCCAGTCGTGTTTTCCATGGGAGTCGGGCTCTAAAAGGGCTTCCTTTATCACTTTGAAGTTCCTCATCAACTGTATAGTCTGCTTCGCCGTGAATAACGCAACATTTCTGGATCAAAGAGAAAGCAATATACTTGGATTGCAAAGAAATGAACAGGCTCTACTCCTCATACCTCATCCTATAGTAGGACGAGTAAGGAAAGTACTACAGAGAATTCATGGAGCCTCTTCCTGGGAAACAAACAACTTATTGCAACTGGAGAAGCTGAGCGCAGATATGTCTGTTTCTCTTTTGACTTCCAAACAATTGATTTAAAGTGAGCATGCTGACTTGCTGTTCTTCTCTCACATATCCGAGGAAGATGCATCTG